GGAAACAATCCAGGACAGAACTTGATTAAGAAGCTGAATTTGAATATTCAAGAAGCTGACCAGATGAATTTTGTGGCACTCATGGTGGGGCACAGGAACACTGGTGAGAAATGGGCCTTTCCTTGAGAGCACTTGTTAAGGATGCCAACCCTGGGTCTAGTGCTGGACCGTTCAGGCAAGTACCCTTTGGGGTCACTTAGGAACCCCACACCCAGGAACCTCAACAGCCCCCTACGGGTGAAGCAGCCTGGGACAAACTGTCAGGGCCTCACTTTACAGCCTCATTTACTCATTTACTCAGAGCAAGTGCTAGGACAGTACAGCAGTTTGCACCTCCCGGAAGCTCTGTTCTTGCTGCTCCCACTGCCGCGGAGCACCTGCTTTCTCAATGTGTGCGTTGGTACTGAGATCACGCTTACCACCACAGGCTGAGCACACGCAGGGCACAGCCCCAGGATCTACCTGGATACGTACTGCCCAGCCCCCTGCTCTCCTATGCTTTCAGTCTGTGTGTCCGCCCCCACCCCAAGTTCCAAGACTCCCGTAGTGCATGTCTCCTCTTCCTCATTCCCCAGCACAGATTACTTGCTTCTGTCCACTTAGGGGGAGCATCTGTTCTCATGGGCTGTGAGCTCTGCCTCCAGCATTGTCAGCCTGTGAATACAAACATCCAAAAGCAGCCTTTTTTTGCAACATGCACATACAAACTGCACAAACTTATTCAAAATGCTTAGTACTTAAAAAAAACCCATGTGGCTCAAGCGTGAAATGGTGATGGTCACACTATTCTGCCAGCAGATGGCAATCAAAACAAAGAAACATGATTACTGATGATAAATAATTCCACGTGAAATCAGGTGCATTTTACTCAGGGGAGCAATGAAGTTGTCAGCAACCACGAGAGGGTACATGGCAGAGGATGAGGTGAGCCAAGGACAGGCCAAAACAAGCTGCCCACATTAGAAAAAGCAGAGCACAGAAAGATGTCCCTTCTGCCTCTTCCCCTTGCATGAATTCCTAGGAAGATTTTATAAGAAACCCCCAAACATCCTTTTATACATCTGGAGATGGTAAACAATTGCAGTTCAAGCCTCCACAGGAGATGTGGTCCTCATGATGTCCTGCACATGGGAAAAGAAATAAGGAGGTCTGACAGAGGGTCGTTCCTTGCACGTGTGGGGCAGCAGCTGCAGTGCGTGCACAGAAGCAGGTGAGCAATTTCCAGGTCTAACAGGATTTAGACTTCTGGTAGTAGGAGCAGTAGAAAAGCCTAGTGAGGAGAAGTGAGTGAAGGAAGAAAAAGGAACGGCAGCTCCCCTAGTGAAGATAGCTGAGAAAATAAAAAAACATTGGTAATAAAATGAAAATTTGAAAACCCTTGCATTCATCCCTTGTTTCATGATGAGTCAGTAAAGGCATGAGAGGCAAATTTAGCCACAGTATATAAAAACATCTCAGTGTGAAATGAGATAGAATATACACAGGGTTCAACAGCCTTAATACAATCCATTGAAAAAACACGTAGGAGTCCAGTTCTTGTGGTTCACACATCCCTAGAACTCATTTTCCTCTAAGGTGAGCCACTGCTAGGATGGAGACAGAGCACGTGTGCAGCAAGAAAGGAAGAGCTATCACAGCAGCTAGCTGCTGTAGGTTGACAGTTCCTGGTTCTGCTTTGCTGGAGGTCAGTTTCCACAAGAAGTCTAGTGAATCCATTACTTTAGAAGCTTCAGAAGACCAGAGAAAGATGAAATCTTGGAACTGTTGACAAGAGGGAAGTCTTTGAGTCAAACACTCCTCTAACGCCTTCTAGGAATGCTATTGGCAGCATTTTTGAACTTCATAATGAGACTGACAGAACTAGGCTAGCAAGGATCAGGAGAGGAGCAGACCCTGCAGGAGTACCAAACTCAAACACTATGGAACACTCAGTTTCACAGCACACACAGCAACATCCCTGCAATGGCAAGCCAAGGCTTGTAATTTAAATTGGCTTCCTGAGCAAGCTGGACCAGCTGTTTCTTCAGGTTTCTTCTGGCACAGTAGAAGCGTACTGGATGATTGCATGTTGTCAGGGTGGGAGTGCACTGACAATCCCATCTCCTGCAGAGTACTTGTGCTGTCCTGCTCCTCACCAGAGCCATGCACACAGAAGCATGCTGTGCCGTTCACCCGCACCATTCTATACCAGAAAACTTCACAGCCATTATTTTGTGTGTACCCAGAGCTTTGATTAGGAGCTGAAACCACTCCAGGAGAACAGCCAGCAGCTTTAAGATTAAAGGAGATGAGGAGTTCCTTCTGAGTTTTTACAAAAAAGGATCCTTCTTGGATCAAGTCTTCACTTGCCTACGTGCTCCATTTTCCTTTCTTCAGAAAAAAATCTACCAGAAGTCCTTCTCTTACCCTCATAAGAGAGGTGGTTCTGCGGCAGGGCAAATCATATCCTCTCCAACATGTTACTGTCATGTAACCAGGTCAGGTGTCTACAATTGCAGACTTGGAAGGCTTCGATTGCTACAGGCTGCTCTGCACACTACATTACACGGTGTTTCTGCTGCCTTTTTATAATCCCCCGTTCAATCGGTTTTGTGTGCTTTGTTTGATATTGAGTTTCTAGCCATGCTATTTATTTATAATACATTCTGCTCATCTGGTGTAATTACTGATGTTTGCTAGCTTGACTCTTCAGGATTTCTATCTGCTGTGTTCTCCCAACTCAAGTCTTTCTAAATACATGTCAGAGTAGCCAGAGGCCTTGCATATGGCAAAGAAAGATGCACTTGACTAACATCCTCCTTTGCTGCAGTGAAGGACCAGAAGTAGGTATCAATAAGTTTTTCAGCATCTTTGCATGTTAGGAATAAGCTGACTAGCAGCAAAAGTGGTAGCATGTTCTGTACATAATACAAGGAGGTCTTCTAGCATCTTGTCACTGAGTAATCTATCATATATTCTTGTAAATCTAGCAGATTATTCAAAGTAGTACGCAGAATATGAAAAACATTATCCAGTAGCAATGCCTTTTACCTAAGAGAATTCAGTTTGCTTGCTAGCACTTCTCTTTCTTTCCCCATGCAATTCCAGCCATCATTCTTGTGTTATGTCTGTCCATCTCCTCCCTGCTTTTCACCCTTCTCCTTGGGGATCCCCAGTGGTAATCCTGTACTTTTGTGCTTTTAACTTTTTAATAAACTTTCTCAATGTCACAGAGTGGCTTGTTCCCACCTATGAAAGATCCTGCTTGCCTATTCTTATTGTAGAGTATGGAGTCAAAAGATGCTTTCTGGGTACCTTGTCAGGACACTCCCAGCAGAAGCTCACCCTTTGCCGTGCAACATTCCCTCAGATTCCCGCCACCTGCAGTCCTTCATCACCAGATGTCCCCCACCACCCCTACGGGCTGCTCATATTCCTCTCTCCTGCCTCAGTCATGTCCATGTACTCCTGCTGTCTTCCCTTTGGTTACTGATACACACTTAGGCCAGAGTTTCCCTTGGGCAATGGAAAAGCACTGCACCAGATCCTGTGCAAGAACCCCCCTCAGCTGAGCTCAGCTCAGCTCAGCACTTAGAAAATGCAGCTGCCAAACCCCAGGGCACACTGCAGCAATGCCTCTTCAACAGAAGAGACACTTCTGAAGAGCCATTTAGCTCCTAACAGGTTCAGTCAACCTGAACACAATAACGAGAACCACTTTCCTAACATTTGCACATCACTCTGGAAGACACAGTGGAAATGGTTTGGATGTTCAGGCCATTTCTCCCTTGGTAAAGAAGGAAATACACAAAGTTATTTTGTTTGTTTTAATTGATCACTGGTTAAATTGTAATACATTTCAAAGCAAAATATTCTGTTCAAGGACATTGTACCAAACATTAAATCTACTTTTAAACAAGGCTTAATTTGACTATTTTACCTTATATACATACAGGTATAAGTTTCATTTCACTAGTAGCAAAATTACACAGTACATTGCATTTCCCGAAAGATGGCAAAAACAGGAATTGTCTGTTCTGTCCTTCCACACACTCCAAATCAGAAAAAAACACAGGTATTGAAAGTACAATCACAACTACGGGTAAATACAATGAGAGATGACAATCACTTCTAGAAATCTACATTGCAAATATACAGTACATTCCACTAAAGAGTTTTGGGAGTTCCCACAATGCCTCTTAATCCCCTTTTGGTAATAAAAGCTTCTATGACAACACATCCTTCATAAAAAGTACTTAATTAGTATTTTTGGAGCATATATTGTAAGCTTAATGCAGTCTAAACTGCAGTCCACAATTAGCTCACCCAAAGAGAAAGTAAGCAAGCATTGTAAGATTCATCAGGTTCAGAAGCAGAGCTCAGCTCCTCGTCATTGGGCTTCTGGGTGAGAGTGCTGCTCTGCACCAGGGACAGGCTCAAAGGGTGGGAAATTATACATTCCTTTTACAGCTTTTGCAGGTCAATCACCTGCAAGTTCTTGACAGAAAATGTCGACTGAGTCATACAAGATTAATTTGACCTTATTTACAAAGCAGCCATTACATTGCAATTGTTAGACAATTAAGGACACAGCTAAGGAGCAACAAGGTTTCCACATTTACGCTATCCCTGAAAACACTTCTGTGAGCAGCAGAGTGCAGCGGCCCAGCAAGTATGCAAACACCCTGCGATTGCTGGGGAAACTGCAGTCTGGCTTCAGGAAGTGGAATGGTGCACAGAACCCAGCAGCCCCAAAGGCCTGATGAGATTTCTGTTACGCTCAAACTCCGCTTTGGTTTGTGCAAAATATTCATCTTGTGCAGGTAGCTTTCACAAATGAACTGCTGCTCTGTGCTTGGCAAGACAAAAAGGGAGGAACTGTCCAGAATTACCAGGAACATGGAGGTAAACAAGGCATTTTTCATGAGCATTAGTTACCCTCACAACACCAAGGACTCTTCCACTGTTCCAAGGAAATGTACTTCATCAGCACTTTCAGAGGTTTTCTGTTTATTACTTGCTGAAGAAGCTACCACTGATTAGCAAAATAGCTGAGCTTGACCCAACTAACAAAGCTGAGGACCTTTTCCTTCCAGGCTTTATGTCTAACTAACCACTAATGCTCTTTGCTGCTCCTAAGGAACTCTGACAGAACTTGGAAACAAGCATGCCTGAGGTTGAAGATACCAGCTGATTTCCTCTGGTTAGAAAACATCACTTGCCTCTATTAGGCAGACTCCAGCCACACACTCTCTTAACACCAATTCTTCACAGATCTCTATTTCAAAAGTTATGTTACTGGACTCCCCAGATCTAACAGCAATGTAACACAAGCCATGTAACTAAAAAATAACAGACGCCTGCCCAAACACTTTTTAAATCTGCTTTATAGAAACTTCTGGGCAGGGGGGATGGGGGTGGGGGGGAAGCTAGGGACTTGGTACTCCCACCTGTCACAGTCAGTTGGCAATGTTCTAAAAGGGCTGGAAAGCAAGCTGCAAATCAGGTTCTCTCTACCTGAGAGAACACCTGTTCTTAGCAGAGGTAGGTAGCAATAAGTCTATGGAGAGAGAATTAGAAAGCAGTATTTGAGATGTACTTTAGAGCCCTGGTGGTTTTTCTCTACTCTGCCTTTAATCTATCTATCTTGGGCTGTTTTCATTTTTTTTTTCTTGCAATAACCATCTCTGCCTACTTACTTTTGGAAAGCGATCCTGGTAGGCTGCAAACAATATATGACATTAGTCAGGTGTTGTTACCAGACAGAGGGAACTATCAGAATGGGCCAGCAGGCCCCACGACTTGCTCCAAGAGTCAAGGAGGTGCTTCATAAGAGAACCTCAAGTGCCATATGCAAAGCCTGGTAGGCAGTGTATCCACCTGCTTGGCAACACCCTGTGACCTCATCTTCAAGCTTCATAGCCAGCAGACGCAGATATAAAGTTCAGCTTTCAGGACATGGCTTCAACACTTCAAAACTTAACTGTGCAATGAACAATTAATATGAATGGAAAACCAACATTTTAAGCAAAGAGAGAATCCAGCCAAGCCTCTGATTAATCATGTGTTTCTGAAGCCTGTTCTAAAAGCTTTTCAGTTTGTGGACACTAAGGATACAGCTACAGGGAAATATGTGTGTCATGATCTGAGTGCACTCACAGTCCATGCAGCAGTTAATGACCAAGCACAAAGCAAAAGGTTGAAAAGCCCTCATTCCCAGATTTTCTACCATTTTTTATTACTGTTTTAAGATTAATTCATACAACTGCTGGACGTTTTTCTTCTAAATGACCCTCTCCTATAAAAGCAACATTAAGACTCAATACACATTTATATGAAATATACTTTAACTTCCCTCTTCCCAGGTTCTTGTACCTAATATATGTCTTACACTAAGAAACACCTTTAGTGGTCCTCATGCTGCTTTGTGTTGCACAGAAAACAAAACTTCAGTTTATTATGTTCATATTCACCACTTGAATTTTTTTTTTAATTTCCAAATTACAGTTTGCTTAGTGAAATCCCCATTGTTTGCACATTCTTGTATGTAACACAAATGACACAGTTACAAAAAATAAAACCAAAATCAAAACACCCTACCCAAAATAGTTTCATTGTCAAGATTTATCAGTTTACCAAACCAAGCCTCTCCCAGATTCTTAGCAGCAAATTTAAATGATGTAGAAAGGAGTACAACAGAGAAATCAGCCAGTTCCCCCACTGAGAACCAGAGGTGACTAAGCCATAAAATAAGCTGAGTGGCTCTGTCAACCCGACTGAAGTTCCAGAAATTATCTAATGGCTGTTGGAAGAATCCATAGCCAAACTTCTTGATTTTCTGTAATTTTTAAAAGAGAGAGCTAATTTCAAAAGATCCTCAGTTCCAAGTAAAATTCCTGCACTCATGTTTTCCCTGCTAACTTAAAATTACATCTAAGGTTCTTCTTTGATGTTTCACAGAAATTTTGCAAGCAAGAGTAGAGAAATTTAGAAAAGATTAATGTAGACATCATCCAGAAAATGCTACCAAATATACAAAGCAGAGGAAGATGTTTTCCTCACAATTTTCATGTTTTAATTTTTTAAACACATATTTCAAGGAAAGAGCAATTTAAAATGTATGCCTCAAAATTACGTTGCCTGTATGCACTGAATGAACATGGATTTTTAAAGCAGTCCTTCCTTATTCTAAGCAGCCCCCTCAGAAATGCTTTATCTCACAACTGTAATAAAGAACTATAGTCAAAGTCATTATATATATCTCTATGCATCTTTTTAAACCTATTACTAGACAGCATTTGCCCTAGAACTGTAAAGAGGTCTCCCATAAACCTGTCCTACCAGCAGAAGCCTTTAATTTCCATGGTTGCAGAACACATACACAAAGAATTAATGAAGTGTCCCAAAGGAAAAAAGATCAGCTCTTACTTATAAACAGACAGCAAGTTACATATATTTATGAAGAAATCTACTGAGATTTAAGACTGCTTCAAAGCAGTAACTGAAATACAACAGCAGCTATGAATAATATATAACCTTCCTGATCCATAACTGATCCTAGCTTCACCTTAAAAAAATCACAGCAGCTGAATATATATGCAAATATACACAATCAAAACCTTTGATCGGAGGTTAATAAGTAACTGTGTTATATCAGAGCTAGAGACCAGACATGGCAAATGTTCAGCAGTCTCTAACCCACCAGCTCTCAGGCTGGTGCAGCAGTGGAAAATCTCATCCAACACACCTTCCAGGTGGAATTAGAATCTCATGTTTCCTGTTCAGATATTGCTAAGCTGAACAGTTACCTCTGCTAATAATACAGCTTCCCTCTCAGTTAAGCATGCAAAATGTATAAAAAGGCAAGTGATCAAAATATCCCCTTGAATGCCCAACTGTCAGGTATCAAGAGACTGCTGCTGAAGATTTAATATCCCAGCACTAATTTTCAACATTTTCAAACTTGATATGAAAATTGCATTTTGTTATTACACAGAGTATAACAGTCATTGGTCATTTGCATCATCCACCCCAGCACTAGTGAAAAAGTACCTTCCAAACAGGGATGAGAAAACATGGCAAGTTTTGTTACCAAGTTGTGTCTCTACTCACCTCACACTAAGCAGTGCATGTTAATAGGTGAGTAGAAATTCAACAGTCTACCAAGACACACCATGTTTTCACATGCACTGATGCCATGCATATCTCAAAAACATAAAAGGTTTCAAACGTGCAGCAAAATGTTTGTTAAAGCACTTTAAATGCTCACCAGATGATAATGAGTGATTCAATACTCAGACAAATCAAAGCAAAGTAAAAGGTTCTTGCTTACACTTCAAGTTTCAGAGTTACATTGTTTCTATCAGAGTATTTGAAGTGCAATGAAAGGAACATTCCACTGAATTCAGAAGCAAGAGACGCCATTTAAAGAACTAGGAAAATAAGCACAGGTCAGAGTACTGCAATAAATAAACAAAACAGCAGGAACAGGCAGACCTCAGAGTCAAAATTTCTTTTTAGATTCATGATACGTTAAAAACAAAAACAAAAAAGCCCACCAACCAACAAAAACAACAAAAACAATCTAGAACAACCCTGTCTGACATTCCCACAGGTGGTGTCATTTTGGCTAAACAACTGTTACTCTATTGTAAAGAACACAGATATTACCAGAAAACATTATTTACAGAATGATTATCAGAGTGATTATATAAAATACAGATGAAAATATACACCCTTAGTTTTGAGATAAGCCAAGCAAATTCACTGCTGCTAACTAAAGCACTTTGAAGAAGGCGACAGGCACCAAATATCAAGATTGAATCACAAAACTACTCAAAGTAACAGACAAATTTGAGATGGTAGAGGTACAGCAAAGATCAATTAAGTTGGAATGATTTATAATAATACTAGCCTATCACTAATTACTTAACTTCATTAAAATTCTATTTTTCTTATACAAAACTGAAGAGAAACCTTTACTCCCAAACTGTGATTTCTACAGGTACTCAGCAGCTTTTTTCTTAATGCATCTATGTAATGCTTTGTACTCTACATCTTACAAAATACATCCCCACATTTAAGTGCATGACTAGAAACTGTGCTGAAATCGTGGAAAAGCGCTCCATAAATCTCAGGCGCAATAAAGTCACAACAATGCTCAGCTCCAGTTTCTGGAAGCAGTTCTGTGAAAGGTGAAATTTCAGAAAAGGGACTTTGATCCCTGGTTTTCGAACTCTGACCATGCGTCATTCAATTCCATGAAGATCATTTTGGCATATTGCTCGTAGGGTTGTCCTGTGGCCTGGAAACAAAGAGAACGTACCATAAGCATAAAAATATTAGAAATTAGGTCATTTAGAAAAGATCCCTTTGATATTTGCTGTCTTATTCAAGAGCTAGAGACTGCTCTGTGAATGTAATTTTACAGACAAAGAACTCTCTCCAACTTTATCCAAAGCTTGCCATGAGTATCTTAAACAAATCCAAATCCTTGGTTTCCTTACTTTATTTTCAAGCTTTCTGTACAATTCCTAAGTAATTGAAATTTAGCTAAAAACAATTTTCAAAGCTGTTCTTTTCATAGATAGTTTCAGTTACTATTGCTTACTAATCAAATTAAGTCATTTTTGGAATTGCTTTGTTGTGGACACAAGACAACATAGGATTTAGACTACTTCTTACTAAATGCAAGCCTGAAAATTCAAATCAGGTATATCCAATGCTTCTCTATCTAAAGCAAGAGTTCAGAACAAGAAGCTGCCTTGATACATTGAGATGCATTAAATAGTTTTTAAAAGACAGCTGCAATGTCATATTCATTATGTATTTTTCATCTGATAATTTGTTGTAAGCTTACTTTTGTGAGTAAAAATGGTTTAGTAAATGAGGTTCATCAGGTTTTTTATTACCAGTTTTCTGTGGCAGTCTCTGAGTCTCCATACTAGCTCTGAAAGCCTTGAGGTACCAGGTGACATAAATGAAACAGATTCCACTAATCAGCATTAAATCTGCCATCTGTCAGTCAGAACCCTGCATGACTGACTTTGGTGCTCATTATAACCTTCACGCAATCTTTCATTTGTTAACACTTCTCTGTTGAATTCTGTGCTGTGTCAGGATGACAAGAATAATCCTGTACTACCTGAATGCAGTTGGACACCACATTCAGAAGACAATGGAAGCACAGCGAAGAACATCTAGGGTGCTGATTGAGAAGGCATTTGCCAGTAACCAGTATGGTGTGAGAAAAGCAGTTTGTATTCCTCCTATAATAAATGAGATCAGAGGAACACACTCACCTTATCAGGGTGAACCACAAGCACTGCTCTCCTGTAATACTTCTTGACTTGTTCAGGAGTTACTAAATCTGCCATGCTGACCGGTTTCCACTTACTTTCCCCTTCCCAAAGCACTGTATGAAGAGTGGATATTAATGCTCTGATATTCCTCTCCTTTCCTTCAATCCATTCAAGAATCTGGGAAAATCAGAATATACAGAACTGAATGCAGCACTGTAAGCATTCTCAGCCTCTACAGACATAATCTTCACACTCTGCAAATCTATATGATTACAACTCAAGTACAGTTTCCTACTGCACTCACTCGTGAACTCAATTGTCTTAGCCACCCAAAAGTGGTATTTTTCATCTACTTCTAGGGAATAGCTCATTGTTACTAGGTTATTGCAGAAATTCAGTCATTGCAGGAGAAATTACACAGATAGTTACATGTTACAAACCCCTGTAAAATTAATGTCAAGAAAAATGTCAGGAGTAATTAAAAGCATCTGTTACAGTTAGATATTACATTAATCTTGTCCCTGTCAGGGCACTCACACAAATATTACTTGATTTTTACAAAAGTGTAATTCTGTTTTAAAACTTCTATTGTACAGGCCTTGTACAAAAGATCCCGTCTATTAATAATTTGTGTTTACTTAAGCAACCTACAGAGTTGTGCAGACTAAAGTGCTCTCTGAGATATCCCCAAAGTCAGAATAACTTTTCAGACTTTTAACAGCAATATTCAAACTATAATATGGGGATACAGTGTTTTCATTGAACACTTACTATAACCAATGAAGAAGGTAACTAAATGTCTGTACTTATTTCCATTTGCGGTGATTCAAGTTAAAAGGTGCCCCATGCAAGCTATGCACTCTCTCTTCAGGAAGGACACTTTGTGAAAGCAAATTTCAGCATCCCTTTAAAGTTTGTTTACAAACTTTTCTAAAGTACCATAAAGACTAAAAAACTGGAAGTGAATTAATATGTGAAATTATAAATGACTAACGGGTCAAAAAATCTGAACAGCAAGGAACACCTCCCAAACTAGTTATACAGCCTGTCTCCAGAACTGCACCTTCTAGCAATTTCTCAGAACAGCAGCAGCACTTGTTAATCAGAAAATGAAAGTACATGGTCACCCTGAAGACAGCTATTCTCACATGCCTCATTTTTAAAGTATATTTTTGTATGATCAGCTAAATCCACCCATTCTAAACCATGACCCTTTAGTTTCTCTGTTAGTCATGGTAACCTTCTGCTCTGTTATCATCAGCTCTAAGCATAAGATCAGATTTTCACTTAAACCGAAATCACTGTTAAACAAACCTTGAGTTTCAAGGGGTCCATATCTTTAGACATCTCTTGTTTTCTCATCTCAGCAATTGTCTTTGGTCCCTTTTTATCAGATTTCGCTGAGAATCCTTGATTAGATAAGAGATCCTCAAAGTCATTTTCTGAAACTTTTGGCTTTTGACCTATAAAAAGAGAAAAAACATTAAATGAAAAGTTTCACAGGAGAATACATTAACATTAAATTATACATTATATATTAAATACATTTCCCTTAGAGACACCTGGATGGCATTTATTACTGCCACAATAAATATCCTTCAGTGACGCCAAAAGCAACAAAACTAAGGACAGAAATAAAAGGGATAAATAATTAACAAACTTTCAGTCCAGCAGAGCTGACAACCTCACATGCTAAGCTCTGACTAAATACTTGCATGTCCTCCTTTTTTAAAAAATTGACTAGATTTAGAGAGTACACATGTATCCATGATTTTGGAAATGGCTCCACTTTTCCACCGTAAGTTAGCTCCAAATGCTATGCATTTGTTTTTCAAGTACTGCTTGAAAGCAATTTTTCAAGCAACCATATACTCAATACTATCGTTGAAAGTATGTAGTCAATATCTAAGCATGTTGAAACTTATCCAGCATAATGAAGGGATTAAATACCAGTATGAATATTTACTACAGAATCAACAAATTTCAGAGAACAGTAGAATAACTGAGCTCTGAAGAGGCCTCTGGCTCAGTCTATTACAATCCCCACTCAAAGAGGGGACAACTAGGTACATTTCTTAGGTCCTTGTCCAGGTGAGGTTCATCTGTTTTTAAGGGAAAGGAGTTACGTTTGTCCTGTTTCAGCATTTCATCATGCCAAATTGATTCTTTTGCCTTGTTCTACAGACTTTCCCATGTTTCAACCTATGCCCACTGCGTCTCCACCCTGAAACCCCTGTCCAGATATGGGCCAACCGACTAAGTCCAATTTAAAGAAGTAACTGGTATTCACTTATATGCCAGTTTAAGGGAGGCATAATCCTAATACCAACATACCAGAAAATAAAATTTTCCAAGAAAGATCATACAGAAGAGGCCAAGCCTATCCCTACAACTCCATGTTTGCCTACTCAGTTGGAACATGTTAAAGGACTGTATAATTCCATCTGGTCCTGTCCCAGTGTCTCTTTCAGACACAAGAATTTTCAGTAATTTTCAGTGATTTTCACCTCAGTCTTTCTCAAGACAAACTACTGCTCTTCAGCTAGGGAAAACACTGTATCCCCTCACCTTTTCCCCTTACCTTTGTATCACAAACAGGCTGACATGGAGGAACATTATCAACCATCTCACCCTGGATTAATCAAATTTACCTTTCTAAACTCACTGACACAAAACCAAGTACCCATGTGGGTGACTTACTTATAGCTTTGAGATTTTATCCCCAAACTCACATATACTTGCGCCATCTTCAGCTTGTCTGTTATGTACTGGGATGGCCTTGGAAAGGCATACCAAATTTGCCAAATATTTTTCTGTTTCTTACTAGACACAACTTAAATGTAAATAAAAATATGAAGGTAGAAGACCTTCTGCAGGTAACAGCACACCCAACTAACTTCACATGGGATATTATAAATAATACACATTCAGAAAACTTACCAAAGCTTGGGGCTCTGACTCCTCTTTCTTCTCGTCCTCCAATAACACTCATGTTTACTGTGTAGTTGGGCTTAGCTGTTGTGCTGGACTTAGTTTGGGACTGCCATGAAGTACTTGGTGGTTTGGGGGATTTCTGCCACTGATTTCCCAGCTTCTGAGATGAAGCAGTCTTCTGACTAAATCCATTACCCAAGAGTCCACCAGTGGATGAACCTAACAATAAATACTAAGTTAGTTGCTCAGTTCAATGCTATCACCTGTTTAATACAAGTAAGACTTTGGTCTTGACATATAACCACATAGCTCACAGCAATATCACCATTCGAGAGAAAATGTACCAGGAAATTGTGGGTAAAATCAACATTAACAAGCAACTTGGATGGCAGGAGGCTTTACTGAAAGTCTTCTCTTACAACTCAAGGACTCAACTATTCGTTTTAGCAAAAATATGCACCCTTATCTGAAGGGTCAGGCATGTGTCAGGCCAGGAGAAAATTTGGCTGTGGCAGTAGTTCTGCCTCCCACTTCACTATATTTCTGCTAAAATGCAGCGCATAATAAATAACTAATTACAAAAAATGATAACAGACTTAGAATATTTTCAAATTAATGCTTTCAAAGTCTCTAGTCATTCCTTGCACTATTGTTTAAGGAAGATGAGAAGATTAATCTACAGCAGAATTCACAGGGAATATACTGCACATGAGTAAGAAAAGCACTGCAGTCTGCAGGAAATACTATCATCTCTGCAATCCTCCTGTGGCATAGGCCAGGATTGTCTGGGTATACACAGCAATGTAAACTTGATTTGCTCTTTCAAAAATGGCTCCTCACACTTCTGCTCTCCTGATGCCTCCCTTTTCTAGTGGCTGCTCATACTTCTAACTCGCAGAAGAGGATATCTCCCCAGGGCCACGTACAAGATACCATGCTATATCTTGAAATACCACACCTGACAAAACCCAGTATTGCAATACAACACCTAATAAAATCTTGGAATGCACTGCTTTTTCATTAAATCACTCACCTGCAGTCAACTCAGTTTTCAGTCATTGATAACTTGTGAAATTTACAGAAAAAACATTTGCTACTAGTCAGAGCAAACAACCCTACATACTGAAAAATTATCTCTTTCACCTATTCTTTCAAAGCATTCTATACTCTATTCTATTATTGCAGTTTTCAAGGCCAGCAAATTCTGCCTGTAAGACAAGTCAATGCCTCACTGTTCACAGAAACCTTTCAACACCGCTCCTACTTTCTGACAGAAGACCATTCCTAAAGAAGAGCGTGGTAACACCAACCACCACAGAACACTAGTGGTATCCTACCAATATACTAACATACCAGTATAAACTACTTTTAGCTACTTTTTCTTTTAGATTTATATACCATATAAATATTTAAGCAGCTTGCACTCTCACAGATTCTTTTTTTCAGAATAAAGTCTTGTATGTGGAAGCCAAAGAACTCAACAAAGAAAAATACAACAGAGTGTGGTATTCCAGTTGTATTCCAAAACTGAATTCCAGTTTTTGTAATTCCTTGAAAACTCATTTCAAGCCTAAAAACATTAACTAGGACAGTGACATCTGGCTACTTCTGAATTTAGTCATTTTTCCTATTGAAAGCTAACTGAAAGAATAATGACATGACCTAAGTCCTGCTAAAATTAGTTTGATTTCTTTCATCAGATTCAGTGTGGGCTACACCTACATCTTAAAGATAAATTTACTTTTTTTACTGTCACACTACCTGTATATTTAACAACCGTATTAAAATGAATTATTAAACTAGAAAATTTTTGAAATTTCTTTACTGAAAGCAGCCTCATTGGTACTGCTTCAACACCAGAATTTTGCATTGCTTATGTCCAAGCACTATCAAGAAGTCAAACACTGCATGTTGCCTGGTGCTTCTAGAAGAATTCCACTGGTACTCAATTCAATACACAGTGCTAACTGCCAAGGCAACAGGGTAAAACCTCCATCAGCTCCAAGCTAAGGGAAAAGCAGGTTTGAGCAAGTCAGCGACACTAGGCTATTCTGAATCATTCCTTGTACTCTGGGCAGGTGGTCACATTTGTTATGGCAGTGTGGGTTCTGAAATACAAGGACCTCAGCTCTTTTGTGAACACTACAGGGATAATTCCTGAATTTCAGGCCTGTAAGACACCCTGGAACAAGAGTTACTTTGCAATGTGTCTTATCTTCCAGAACTCTTTGTGCCCTCCACTGAAAACTCACAGATATTCATAATGCTTTTGGTACTGGTATGCAATGTATGGGCTTGATTTGTGCTCACCTTACAAACGCAGTAGATGTGAGTAGCAGAGCTATGAAAGCCTACTGAATTCAAAGGGAAGTCCTGAATTAACTGTCACTCTGGAACTAAAAACTTAAACTAATTTAATTCTGCTTCCCTTTTAAATCCTTCAGGAACAGTATTAATCAATGTTAGGTAAGAAACCTCATGCTCAGTTACTGAATCAGCAACTCCTGGTTTCTCTTACCATCTCAACTAGATTCTGAAGCATTAATTATTTTTACTGTTCTTGTATCACAGCTGTAAATATCTGCTGAAATATTATTCTGGATGTTTCAAAAAATATCTGGAAGATTCAATCTTTTCTTGTTACTCACCAGCTTCCAGCAAATACCTCAAGGTGGTCATTAACAATTTAAAGGAAACATTTTCTTTTATAGGCTGTCAGTAACATTTACTGATACAAGAAGCAAATCGAACAGTAGAGGCACTAAAAAGAATCTCTCAAAAGCAGGATCTTACCTGGAAGACCAGATCCCAGACTGGCAAGATCAGCAAAAGGATCAAAGTTCTGAGCTTTCGTCTGGCTGAAAGACAAGCCTGAAGACACGCTGGACTGGCTTCCAGTGGTAAAAGCTTGGCCTGTATAATAAGAAGACACATCATGTACCTAGTCTGTTTGGAAATTGAGAGAAAGAATAGAAATAGTATCTCCACAACACCTCATAAAAACCTCCTCAACGTTCTACTTCACAACATCTTTTCCCATTACAAGAATCACCATTAATTATAGAGAACTGAAACAATTTAATTCCTATGTCTTGAAATTAAATCTGAAAAACTACACAAGTGCCTTACTAAAGGAACATTTAAGCAGTAAAGCAAAAATGCATAAAGACATGTTCAGCAGTTTCAGGTGATTACTGACCCAATCTGGAGTCTTTTCTCTAATGGAAAAATTACATTTCATAATACCTTCACAAACAGGCTTCAGCTGTGGTGATGCTACATTGCTGGTTGTTGAGGAATCTGCCCAAGAATCCCATCCACTTAAGAGATCTGGGTGGCTTGTAGATGATGATATTTTAGGCGGCTCTGGTGTCAAATTGCCTACAGAAGGAAAAAGAAATGTTTTCATGTTTAAGAAAACCATCATAATAATATACATGTTTACCAATACCAACAGAATGTGTACCACATTGTCAGCTATAAAGCTTGCCTTGATTTCTCAGTAAGAGTTGTGCAGTATTAATCAGGACTCAGAAGGGTTGTACCACTGGAATTCCTTCATTTCTAATTTAAAACACCCCACGCACTTCATAGATAAGGTATTTTCATGCATAGGCAATGCTATGAATTTAACAGCTTAGGTCTCCTGACCAAAAGGACTGGCTCAGGTACAGATCTAGGGCATACTGCTGTTCCTGATAACACAGTCACTAAGAAGAAAGCAGCAGTGCCCCATGAAAGGTGCTTTTTATCACTGAGCAGTCTGGGTGATACACAGGTGAAGTCAGGTCACTTCAGACTGCAGGTTTGCCTGAACCAGGCCCCTTGTGACAAAGGAGCCTCTTGGCCCGCTAATACACACTTTGGCATGTAACACACAAATGAATGCACACAATTGAAGAGCAGGATACAGGAAGAGTGATTTTTTTTTCTGGGAAAAGTTTAAGAATCTCTAGCTCCACAGATAAAAAACCACTTTTCTATGCACCATGACATCTAAATGAAAAAGTCATATTTAAAAGCACACAAAGGTGCTGCCACTAGCTCCTGGAAAATGTCATATTCCATCTAAAGGTATAACTGCCATCCCTGACACTTTCCCACCTACTCACACGAACTGTGAGGTGAGCCATCCTCAGAACAAGATATGCTATGTACAGAAAACTCAAAACTGTATGCCAGCTATGAGCATTCTCCTTGAGCACAACTTGTGGAAACTCACAGTGAAGCAAGGACAGCTTTTGAAAGTAACCCCTACTTTAATGCTGTAAGTGTCAATGCTACAGGGAGGGGGATATTTCAGTAAAGCAAACACATTTAATGGTGCTCCCATATATTTCACAGACATAGGGTTTAGAAAGTTAACTCAACAATCCTTACAAAAGCAGTACCATTTTGGAGGCTCTGAAAGTCTCAGCTACAACATCACAGCCTTTCACTTGTCTCAACTTCTCAGCTTTATATTCTAAATATTAGTATCAAATCCTCTGAATTAAAGAAATAATTAGAAGCCAATTAAATACCCCTATAGTACCTCAATCTACTAAGCATTTATAATTAGACCTTACAGCTGCAAAGTGAACACATCAAATACTGTGCAACAAATATCTGCTGAAAGCCTGTATGTCATCAGTATACCCTGCTGCATGTAATGGAAAAAATCATAATAAAATGCAAGAAGTACCCAACATTTCCAGCCCTTTCCCCAGACCCAAGCTTCATCTCCCTGCCTCTGAAATCATGGGAAGAAACAGTCTCAATACTCGGGATCCCCAGCTATCCGCTAAACAGCAGTGTCACTGGCTACAAACCAGCACCCATTCATCATCTTAGAATTTTGGTGCATCATATTCCTCCCTCAAAAGTTACGTGGGCCTTTAATTAATACTAATATTAAATTTTAGGATTGAAATTATTTTTTTCTACAATCTCTGCTATTAAAAGTCTTTTTACAGTAGAATAAGAAAATTAGCAACATCATATGAAAAAAACTATTATGAAAACAAGTTGAGAGAAATAAGAATAAATTGCATTTGAAGGACAGAGAATGTACTATGAGAATGAGCTGTTTTATAACAGTTGGCTTAAGAGCAGTCAAGTTCATCACCTCCCCCACCCTGAACTAAGCAGGAAGTAGCCTACTGCTATGTACAGAAGTAAATTCACTATTAATAGTAAAAGCTCATACGCAACCACTATGCTTATCAGAACAATCTGCAACAATGCAACGTACAATATACTGAGCAAATAACCCATTCCTCCTGAAACTGTTTGTTCTTACGCTATTTTCTTTTTATTTCTACAATGTGGGCATTATGTCGGATTTTAACATCAAGAAAAAGTGCTATAAACACGATACTTTGACTTCTACATATTCTGAAGAGGTATTATGAGACCATACTGAATCCCTATTTTTATAAATGGCACACTGGAGTTCATACAGACACATTAAGATAAAGGAGCAGAATACCTAAAGAAATGGCAAAACATGAACTGTAGCTTGATATTCCAAAAATGGAAGCAATTAAGATCATGAGCATACAGATCCAAGCCTGGTTGTCTCAAGTTTTTTAATATGCATATTGATAATCCCTAGCCATACAGCAATGAACCACTGGAGGTCAGGGCAAAGAACTGTGTTCTTTACTAACACTGCTCAAACCAAGATAAGATGCAAGAATAAGTTGGTGGTAATCAGATCACACTTTCCAGCTTCCCAAAATAAGAGACCTGCATTTTACTACACACAACGTCACATAAGGTTTTCTTTATTTAACTTGTCATGTCTACAGGAAATCCTTTAATCACAGACAACAGGATTTTCTGTGAACCAAGACACTGGTTTAGTATGATGCAAGGTTTTTTTAACCTTGTCTAAAGCCTGTCTGAGAACCCAAGTTCACAGAAACTAACTTCTCCTCAGGAGAAAACTACACTGATCACTCAGGTTTCTTTTGATGACCTTCCAAATCTCCTGCTGTCTTGAGGAAAATACATTCTTGACTCAACTTGCATTACAGATGATCTGCTACTTAAAAAATCCAGAAGAAAATGAAGGTACCTTGTTAATAAACAGCTTGTTAATAAACAGCAACAGCACATTTTCGTATTACAGGAAAGAATGCCTTAAGAGACCAGATATTGTGTAAGAACTATGTTTCATTTTAAAACTGCTATGATTTTAAATTTCAAGCCAACATCTGAGAAATACAAGGTTAAAATTCTATGTCTTGAACTTGTGTTCAATGAAACATCTTTTCTCTTGATAACTATAGCAGTTTAGTAATCATTTACTAACAAATAAAACTTATCTATCACTAAAATTTGATTCTAGACACAACTGCTCCAAGAGTAGTCATCAAATCTCATTGCTGCAGCTTATTTTGAATGGTCACTGCCATTACTACTACTTTATTTTTAGTTAAATTTATTTTCTCCCTTTAATGACCTCATGTTTTCATTGTCTTCTGCTCACTCAGTTCTTCCAAACCTGTAATTTGAGAACATATTCTTATTTGCCCTTTTCTCTCATGTTACTAGTGATCCTGTCCTTTCAGGACTCAAAAATTCACATTAAGAGCAACATAATTATTAATATTCCTAACTTACTTGATAAAATTGATACCTGTAACTGGATAGACTGCTAAAGGTTCAAATACATACAAAATTTCAGCTAAACACACATCTAAGCTCATTTATTGAAAGATAAATGTAAATAAGCATGAAATGTTACCACAGTTTCTTCACTTCCATATGTTTTTTTAAGAATGCATAGCAATAAAGAAATATTGGGAAATCAATGTAGAACAATAGGCTGAAGAGAAAATGGCTACATGTTAAGTATCTTTTCCTGTGTTGACAGAAAGCTCCAGAAATTACATGAAAATAGCAGGTATCCTAATACACTTACCAGTGTGCAAGATATCAAGTAAAATCAGAAGGAGTAAGCATAAGATATTAGGCATTAAAGTCAGATGTAAAAATATTCCTTTTTTTTTCTGTACTTGCTCAAATGTTATTAACAGCTGAATATTGATGATGTCCTCCTCAAGGTTGCAGATAAACATTTAGTGAACAGAAATGAATATTTTATTTTTCCTACTTTAATACATAAAAGGGTTTTCAGTCTCCTCTCTGATATGAGAGTTCTGGTACTATTAAACTTGGAGAAAAGAACTGGGAACATTCTTATAAATGTGTGAAAAAGAAACAAAAAAAAAATAAAATGCTGGATGGACTCCCCTCTGTGTTGCCCAGTGGAAGAGCAAGAGGTAAAAGGGCATAACTGCAGCACAGGGAATTCCATTAAAAAATACTTTCCACTAATATTTCTCCAGCCCTGACAGAGGTTGCCCTGAGAGCTGTTGAGTCTATAGCACTGGAAATACTAAGAAACTTAAAGGACACGGTCCTGAACAGCCCACTCTACTTGATGCTGCTTTGAGCACATCAGCTAGAGAATCTCCAGAGGTGCTGCCTCTTAAGTGAGCTACATTTTGGCTGAGATCATAACATATGCTGAGTTAAAAGGGAACCACAAGGATCACAGAGTCCAGCTCCTGGCTCTGCACAGGACAGTCCCAAGAATCACATCATGTGCCTGAGAGTGTTTTTCAAAGGCTTTTGGAACTCTTGTCAGGCTGGTGACCACTTCCCACTATTTCAGTGCCCAGCCAGCCTCTGGGAGAAAAACCTTTTCCTGATATCGAACCTAAACCTCCCCTAACACAGCTACAGGCCATTTCCTTGGGTCCTGTCACTGGTCACCACAGAGATCAGATCAATGTAGGCCCCTCTTCTCCTCAAGGAAGTTGCTGACTGCAATGGGGTCTCCCCTCAGTCTTCTCCAGGCTGAACAGACCAAGTGACCTCAAGCTGTTCCTCATACAGCTTCCCCCTAAGGCCCTTCACCATACTCATGGCCCTTCTTTGGACACTAACGGCTTAATGTAATGGCTTCTTTTTAGATTGTAATAACCAGAACTGTCCCTAGCAGTCAAGGTGAGGCTGCCCCAGTGCAAAGCAGAGCGGGACAATCTCCCCCTTGCCTGGCTGGTGATGCTGTGCCTGATGCACCCAGTTGGCCCTCCTGGCTGCCAGGGCACTGCAGACTCATTTAGCTTGCCATCAAGCAGGCACCTCAGGTCCCTTTCCATGGTGCTCCTCCTCAGTATCTCATCCCCCAGTCTGTCTGCATCCAGGCTGCCCCATCCCAGGAGCAGAATCTGGCGGAGATAATGCTCCACTGATCAGTATTGATCAAACCCTCTACTGAGCAAAAAATTTATGTTCAGTAACCTCACACAGGGACAGCAATAGTGGCATAAAACTGGCAACTATACAAGTACACAACTGAAACATACTGTTACTATCTACGGGACAGAACAAAAACATTGCAAAGGAGGCAGCAAGAGGAATCTTCTCAGCAGAATCAGCCGAAATATAAAGATTAATAATATGATAGGGCAACCAGCTGGGTAGCCTTTTATTTCAAAGAGGAAGCCCTTCTTTCAGCCAGACAAATAATGCATTTCTTACTGTCCAGTTTATCTGTAGCTAACACCCAGACTGCATCACTCAGACATAGGGTCAACTAGAGCAACTGTTAAATGAAGAGGGGCAAGTCAATGATGTATGCAGTAAGCTCTGGGAAGAAATCACCCTGGATTCAGGAAAAGGTGCGTGATACCACCATTCCTGGCTATCTGCACGTTCTAAGTACGTGTCTGCATGAGAAGAGGCCTGGGCTTCTCTGCTAGACACAGCCAGCTCAACAAGACTCACCACAAGCCACACCTGAGCCTCCCAAGCTAAATGTCTTTGGGAAATCATGTTTTCCCAAAAATGCTGCACAGCAGCTGTAAGAGAAGGGACAGATTTGACAGAAACCACCCTGCAGACACTAAGGTTCCTGAAGAAGGAATGGGAGAAGGTGCTCCAGCTGCCAGAGCAGATTGCCCAACAACACATGTGAAAGACCACAGTAGAACAAATATTCACACTGCAGCCTGTGTAGGATCCTACACAGGTAGTTAAGCCCTCGAGGAAGCCACAGCTTAGGGAGAGCAGCCCACACAGCAGCAAGTCCTGGTAGGACCTGCAGCACCTGCAAAAACCACATCCCTCTAGCAATCCCTTCCTAAAGGACTATACCCTACACAGACCTCTTAAAAGATTGTATCCTGTGGGAAGCACCTATACAGAAAGAGGGGAAATGATAGAGCAGCAGAGAAGAGCCCTTACCAACTGATCACAACTCACACCCCTATGGAGAACCCACATTTTTCTTTTGAAGTCAGATTTTCAAAAGCTTTAACACTAGTAGCATTACCACTCCACCATTTCTGCAGATGTCTGTTTCTCCTTAAAGAATGATGGGAAGAGACTGAATATACCACTAAGATTTTTGTTTAAAGATGAATAGATTTTAAAATAAATCCATGAGGAAAATGCTTCACCAAGAATATATCAGAGAAATGAAACAAATAAGATTAGAGTATTACATAAGGTACTTTGTAAGTATATTACCAGCATACATTCAGGTCAGGAAGGTGCAAGCTAGCCTCAGACTGCACTTTAAGAACTGGCTATGTTATAACTTGACTCACTCGTTTCTCTTCCAAGCTTTCCAGAAAATCTTTAAAATCTGAATACAGTCTACACAGCGTACTATCACCTATAAAGTAAGTTTTTGGGTACCCTCAGTTATTAGATCATTGAGAGGAAACTCCAACTCCTAACACTTGGTTAGCAATATTAGAAATCTTTTTACATCATAAATAACAGCATGACTTTATATAGGAAACACTTGCTTCTTGGTGTATTTGCATCTGTACTTCCAGAGTACAAAGCTAATTAAAACAGCAATCACAACAAGAGGATCTCTTAAGACACTAATCCACTAAGCTGAAAGACAAATGCACAGAGAAGAAACTACTGAGACACAAAACATCAGAAGCTCACTTACCTAAATTTAAGAAATCTGAGCTGGAAGAAGGAGGAAGTGAACTTTGTGTGGAAGGGACTGTATTAGCTGTAGATGTTGGATTAAGGAAGTCCCCAAAGAGGTCTGGACCAGACAGGGCTTGGTTCTCTGAACTTGATGACATTGTGAATGGGTCAAATGGATCAGCTAAAAAAGAAGCAGAAAACAAAATTATCTCACAACAAATTGTAGAATACATGAAGTTGATAAAAACTTGCTCCTCTGAGGGCACAGACAAAAAGCAAAGTTTATGCTAGTAACTGCAGCAGCCTTCTGTGAATTTTGTGTGGCAAAGAGTAACCACCCATTCCTTCCTCTAGACAAAAGAACTTTCACCTGGTACAAAAGGATCTCATCCATACTTAATATGAGCAGCTATGTCTTCTAACAAAAGCAGCAAGACTGCATACAATTCAACAGCACTTAATTTCATCCATTTAGAACACATCTTAAGTTTGAGTGACCAATTGACACAAGAAGACTTACATTTTATAAATGCTCTATAATGCTAAATCTGCAACATATTTGAAGAAAATGGACTGTTGCACTGTTAAAAAGAATATGAAGTAAAACATTCATACTACCATTCACACTCGAAGGCATTGGCGACTCTGGGGCAGGAAGCACGTCAACCCAAGAATGAAAATCAATAGAAGTAAGACTTCAGCAGGTCTCTAGTGATCCCAGTGAAGAAAAAACTAACTGGAAGAGTATTTATAGGCAGCATGGAGTAACATGTGACAGTCAGCTGGAATCACAGCTTTAGATCTTCCTGTTTCTGCTGCCCTCTAGGGTCAAAACCCCTCAAGAGCCCAGGGAGTTCTGCCAGATTCACTCACAAGCTGAAGAGAAGGAATAATCCTGCTATAATACCCCAGCACAACCTCAGGTAATGACCACACTGTACAGGACTCAACAACATTTCAAGCAAATTTACTATAGCATCACACATAAACAAGACCTCCAGTATAAGTTTGTTGTGCAAGCCAAAATATAACACTGGCCAAACAGTCTCACTTCTGCAATTATCTCTCTTAATACAACTCAATGAAACACATTGAATGACTATGAGAATGAGATACATACATGACTACTGCTCTGGTATTTCACAGCTAAAGAAAGATAAAGTAATAAAGGTTCCCTTTTACAGAATTCTACATATGCAAAAAAAGTAAATTAAAATTATTCTTCCCTGACCACAGTAACAAAGTTCAATAGTGAATTGCCTCAAAATAAAAAAAAACCATCTTAAACCATCTAAATGCTCTGTAAAAAATACTTCTAGTTGTCTATAGATGAAAGCTTTTAGTACCTATGAATTATCTTTGTGCAAACAAACGAAATCTTGTAATGGTTTCCCAGTTTATGATACTAACATTCTCAGAAATCTTACCATTAACTTTAGGCAGAGAACTATTATTCCCAAAAAGTGACAAAGGGAGGAGTACTGGTAAGAGGAACAGAATCTCTGAGTTAAAACACCTTGTTTAAATACCAAATAGACAGCACAACATAGCATTCTCTTTAAGAATACTGACCTGACAACATCATCAGTAAAACCACCAAGAAAACATTTTTTGGCAGTATCATTATCCTACTGGTTAGAACAATAATATACAGGATTTCCAGTTGCTCAGCAGTCTTATGTGATTAACGCTTAAAAATCCCACGCAGACATTTGACCTAAGCAGCACAGCTCTGTACATCTAATGTAAAGCCATTGCTTTACATAAAGTTCAAATTACGGTAATTCTATACCTTAATAAAGGAAGTTATGGATTTAGAAAAGGATCTAGCATGCAACATTCATATGGGAAAGCTAAGAATTCTTTAAGATACTGAATTCCCGGTAAATTCAAAATTTGATACTTTTCTGTTTACATGAGTTTAAAGCTAATAGGACACTGGCAATATAACAGAATACCTGGGTACGGTACAGGAATTTCTCTTCTTCATGCAGAAATAACACCTGTTCTATTCATAGTCTTGCTAAAGACTGACATGTCTTCACCATACTGTTGAAACGTGGTACTGATTTTCTAAGCACAATGCAAGCAGCAGTTTTCATGTGCTGCCCAGGTGACAAGTACTGATATTAAACTCACATACCTGAAGACATGACTGCTGCTGAAGATGAACCCTGAGTAGCAGCTGGACACTGACTGCTGAAAAAGAAATCTGTTCCTTGTCCAAGAAGATCTCCAGTGCGTTCATTTGAAACCTGTGACACACTACTCACAAACAGATTGTTCAACAAGTCTGCATTACTTGATGAAGTGTTTATTTCTGAGATAGGTTGTCTCTGTTCTGCTGAAGTATCAGAATCTAGTCCCAGCAAGTCTACATTCTCTTCAGGGAGAGATTTTTGTAACGGTGCAGATGAAGCTTCAAAACTGTCTTCAAAAAGCAACTCTCCTTCTGGAGTAGAGTCTTTTTCATCAACAATTACTGTACTTCCCTCATCTGGAAATGTCGGGAATTCCTCATCTGAAGGATCACTCTCTTCCTTGTCAGCAGATAGCTGAACATGATCATTTTTAGATGAACTGTCCTCTATTCCACTTTCTGGAGTTTTTCCTTCTTGAAAAAAAAAAAAAAAAGGAAGAAAATAATAACATCTTTAAATAAATAGCATTATTCTTCCAACTAGGGTAAGAGAAACTTTCATGGTGACACCATATGAAATCAATTCCTAACTAACCAAAACTCATATAAGAATTGATGAAAAAGGAACTACATGTTGCCTGCCACCTCATTGTATAGGGCAGAAAAAGCAACAGCTGACTACCATATTTGTCACTCCACAAAGGTAGGCATTACAGTTTTTTTCAAAAGGACTTGGACATTCAGCTCAGATCACTGTGTCTCCTAGAGCTTACAAGATTTCTCAGTAACCGCTGCACTCAAGAAAAGCATAAGCAGCTGCTCACGTTTTTGCCAACAAAGCAGCACCCAGAAAAGGCAGTTACACGTGTGCTGTAAAATTACATTTTCTTAGTCCTACTTACTGATCTGGACCCCACTGGCTAGTCTACTTTGTTTCCTCTGTTGCTCAGCCAAAGTGGGGCTGTGGGAGTGAAAAGCTTCCTTGCTTTAAGGTTAAGATTTTTACAGAAAAAGAAAAATTTAGCTCAGCATTTAAGTCATGTTCAACACCAAACCCCCTTACTTGGTGTTTATCCAAATGAAGCAGAATAATTGCTTGTTATTCTGCAAAGCTCACTCTTTAAATAGCTTTTCCTCATGGTTAGTGAATTAGATTTTTGCTGCCTAAGAAGGCTTAAGCACTCACTGGAAGGAATACAAGACAAACATAAACCACATAGTGACTTCAGAGGAAAACCTGTACCTTTCCAGTCCAGGGAGTGAAAGAAGTTGTTTGCATCAGTACTACTGCTGTGTGGGGATTCCGTATCAGTAGGTGCACTTTCTGAAGACTGCTCCAACTGGGATGCCTCTGCTTCATATTGTGCAGTTGAACCTGGCTGTCTAGGCAACTCTGGTTTCCCTATAAAACAGAATTTAAGCCACAGCCCTTAGAGAGAAACTTCTCAATCCTCCACAGGCTGACTGCTGTAGGAAGACAATTATCTCAAATCTATTACTCTGCAAACGCAAATTCCTGCCCCCACCATCTTTTAAATTAGAATTAACTTCTTTTCAACTGCAAAAACTGGTAAAATGCTGTTTTGAACTAGGACATTAAATCAGAATCATAGAGTAACACTCAAGCATTCTATTTACATTAGTAAGAAAATGTAATTAACACCTCACTTGTACCAACCATCCCCTAAAACATGCAAGAGCAATGAACAGTATCTATATTAAGAGTCAGAAAAACAGAAAAAAGCAAATGCAGATACAGAAAAACTCAGAATATGCAAAGCCAGTGAAGAGCAAAGGGTATGCTGCTATTACTTCTTTTATTTCTTATTTTAGTGAAATCAGATATTAAGTGACTCTTGTGTAAAACTCAGTTGCACAGTTACCTACTGCTGTATCACCTCTCAAAACCAAAGTTTCCTCAAGGCAAATGAAGAAGACTTCCTAAATTAGTCAATATTCATCCACCATATGATAAGACAGCTGGGAGAAACCTGTTTGTCTAAATTTAAATACACAACTGGTAGAGCACTTTTTAACTCTCCTTCCAGATTCTCAGCTGTAGCTTTAGAGATGCTGAAAAAATTGTCTGTTTCAGAAAACACACATGAAGGACCATGACTAATGAAAGACTAAACTCAGTTTTCATGGCAAGTTTTATTAAAACCAGTTCACAGCACTTACTTTTGTCCTACTCCCTCCCCAAAAATCTTAAGAAATACTTTCAGTGTAATTTGAAATCCTTACATTTCATGTATCAATCAGAAAATAAGAGTAACTTTTACAGAGCCTCACCATCAATGGTGATGCAAAGCTAAACACCTTAGCTCTAGAGCTGTGTTCACAGGATTAAGCTAAGTTAAATAGAAAATGGCCTAAATCATAATACAAACAATACATATCCTGCTTAAAAGAAAAAAGGCCAGCAGCAACTATCTTGTATGAAAAGAAATGCACTTGAGATGTACCATATTAACAGCACAGGGTGAGATCTCATGCATCACTAAAATCACCATAGTAATCTTCGTCAAGCTTCTTTATCCTTGAAACACAGAGAAGGCTTAAAAGCCTGAATGAAAATGTCAATGCTAATCACTGGATAGCAGGAGAAGAAGAAAGATACTGAGCAGCATTAACTGAAACTAATGTAGGCATCTACAGATGAAGCACTGAATACATAGAAGAAATAAAATAAAAGTCTGCTGGAAAATATTAGTAAAAGTTCAGGAAATTATTTACAGCATTACATGGCCACACTTAAGAATGTTGATAAAAACATTCATACCTAAAACCATTTGTGAGGAATGGTTACATAATTTTAAGTGAAATGATACTGGTGCCAGTTTAGCCAAATAAATCCCTTTCAAGACATTGTGCCTACAAAATACTGACCGTTACAATTCCATTTGCTAAAAGACCCTTGCTGCAAATGGCCTGTTCACAGCTTTCAAGCAAGCACACATAAGCACAGTAAAAGTAAGACAGGTATAATTATAATCCATTACTGAAGCCCCTCAATACAATACATATTTTTAATTGATGCTTACCAAAAAAACCTTTTAAATTCCTTTCAATTAATGGAACATAAAAATTAAACAAAAGCCTCAAACACTAAGTACATTGAAAACTTTTTCACATTCTCTATTTTTTCAAGGGATTCATTACCAAATTTTGATAAAATCTCTTGCTGTTCCTCTCGGGTGGAGAAGAGGATCTTGGGATTCAATCCCTTTATATTCATGTTATCCCAAGGTGGCTGTTCACAGCTGGGCCTATCTCTGGGCTCCACCTCTACTTCCAGATTGACTTGAAATAAATCAGGGTATTTCTCTTGTATGTCACAGGCATCCAGATCATACCTGTAATGACACAGACAAGAAGTTTGATACTGATGGCTAACTGGATTAGATCTACTGCAGTCCAAAACAAAACTCCAAAGCAATTAGTATAAAATATTAAAAATGCTGTATTTGTTGACTTTTCCCATTTTAAACAAGCATTATTTTTGTACGTAGTTGGTTTTTTTTTTGGTATCACAAACAAAACATTTAGTTACTTTAAGGTGAGTAAACAAAAAACTCTTATTGCAATCAAAGCCATCTACTTCCTGCACTAACTATTCCCTCTCCCTGCTATATGTTGATGTTTGGCAGGTTAAGCAGTTCCAAAGAAAACTTCTCCCAGTCTCCTACAAAAAGGTGTCAACATACTTGGCAAATTTCACTGTAGTGGCATTTCGGGGCACAAAGCCTGTATGGAACTGAATCTGAAACATCTTCATTGAAGCCATCTGTTGAAAACACAGTGTTCTGCCTATAACATACCACAAAGTATTATCGGTATTAAAATATGTTGAAGTATTTGCTTTGCTACAAAAATTTCTATTTAATTACAAGTATACTTTATCCTGAAAGTTTTAAATGCAGTTGAGATTCATTTCTCAATGAATGAATCTCAACTTCATAGTTGAATAATAGATAGTTGAGTAGTAATAGATATATTACTACTGATCTATTACTAGCACTAACAAACCAAAAGACCTTCAGTCAGATATGTCTCATCACTAACTTCAAAATGTACTATCAAAGTCTAAAGTATTTCCAGATCCTATTCTGGAAGCTAAAATTGCATGCAACTTGTTCCTTTTCTGAATAGCATATGCTCAGAAACATCCGTTATGCAACACACCAACCAAAAAATATATATAGGTCACATACAAAGGAATAGATTTAAAACAGTTTTAAATGTAGCACATTTAAAAGAACACTTCAGAAAGAATGCAAAGAATTTTTTTTCTGGGCAACTTTGAATCAGCCATTCATTTCAGACAGAACTGTAGGGCTTTTCTAAACTAAATTTTTTTATTTGCTCAACTGTTCACAGAAAAACTGCTTTCATGCTTGATGGGAATATGAGTGTCCAGAAAATATTACTATGGAATATTCAGGTAGCTCCTGATCTTGCCCAAGTCCAAATTACAGTTCACTGATCAAATGTAGCCTGTATTTGTCTCCTAGCATTAGTCCTGCCTGTGAAATAGTCTTGCCAGTCCTTAAAAAGAAGTCATACAGTAATAGTCAAGAAAATATAATAAAACTGAATTATGAAAGTTTTCCTTGTAAATGAGCATTTACCAAACATCATATCCAGAAAGCAAACAATACAAAAAGCATTGCCACAGATTAAAGGTGAGTGATCCCTCCCCTCCATTCAGCACCAGTGAAGCTTCATCTGTAATGATGGTGCCCAGTGCTGGGCTCCTTAGTACGTGAGAAGCATGGACACTCTGGAGAGAGCTTTTCTGATTCTTCTGTCCCTACCACTGCTTTCCTAGAAGATAAACTAAACCCTCTCCCAAATTAGCTGTAAGAAAGTAAAAGATATTCACAATGCCTAGCTTTAAACACAGGAGAAATCTTGAAATGTGGTGGTTAATCTCTGTGAGAGATCTGCAGAGAACTTTAGGGGGTAATTTAAAGCACATAAAACCTAAAGATACATTGAATATTGTTCCAAACCTCCAAACCCAGATCATCACACACACTGTTACGTATCATGTGTTATAGCTGATAGCTGAGAAAATTCTAGTCTTTTCTATCACTGAATAAATTCCAGAGAAACCACATCAAAGAAACTGTCATGAATAAAAGTGAGATGGTTCAAGGAGTATAACTTAACCTTGGATAAATTTTGTCAGTTTTATGCCTTTCTCCTGATGACCTTGAACCATGCAGTAGTTGTTTTTGTGTATTAAGGAATAATTTCAGTGAGTTTTTAGTTTAAAGGTGTTCTGGAAAGTCTTGTTGAGCCTCTACAATGTGACAACATGACACCTTTCTACTCACAAAGCAGAAAGAAAAAAGCATAGGGAAAACAACTTCAGCAACACTTACTAGGTATGAATACACATGTATGTCCCGCATGAATTGAAACTGGCTCAAAAACTGGCTGATCAATTTCCATAAAGCTCCAAGCCCTAAACCCTGCACTACCCCTCCTTATCTTTTACATGGATTTCCAAGTTTAATTTGGGTTACTTATCTGGAGGAAAAAGAACACGCCTCTCTTTCAAAAAATTTGAAGACAGGCTTCATTAACATGTTTTTTGTGATCTTGCGCTACATTTGCACCCATAGTTGACTTTAAAAAGGAAATATGCATTCTCCCTAGTAGAACATAGATGTAAGAAAAATAGCTACAAAAATGGAACTTGACTTTAGAAATAGGCTATAAAACCACATGGATTTTTCTAGCCTGTTTTGTACAGGCAGTCTCTCAAACGTCACTTTTTTGCTGAGTGACGCTTTTCCTTTGGAGTTTGTTTGTGTGCATGGAATTAGGAAGTCCTGGCTTCTTGTGCAACTTAACAGATAATAATTGCTGCCTCAAAAATACTGGCTAGGGGCTTTCCCTACAAATATAACAATTATCAATACTGAAGAACTTTCCAGAAATGTTTATGAAAGCATTTATATGTACAGGATTAGGAGTGGACGTATCTAGAAGGCTTGAGAAGGCTGAATTCACAAGTGAATGAAAACCTCTAACATTTCTCTGAACAATGAACAGTAAATAAAGCAAAGGACTCAGTAGATAATTAGTAGGATTCAAAATTGCAACCAAAAAAGAGCAAATCTTCAATTCAGGATCTTAAATTTCTTATTACCTTGGCTTGTAGTCGTCCTCCTAGAGTTGACCTGGCATGATAGATCACAATGAGAACATCTCCTTGGACTGTTATACCCAGTGGGATTACTGCTTTCCCATCTTCAATTTTGAACTCTCTAAAGGGAAAAGAAAAACCATAACCACAGTTTATTTAGTTTAAAAAGTGATAAATAGTGTATTACTTTAGATTTAACCCAATTTCTCCTTCAGTAGCTGAAATGCTAGAACTTTAGTGTTCTCCCATTTTTCTTGTCTGTGATTACCCACATCTATCAGTGTTAGTACTGTTTGCAATTGTGCAGACACCAGAGCTGTACAGGGGTTAATAAGCAGTCACTTTGCAGCTGCCATGCCTGGGGGATCCTTACAGTTTCCATGACTCAAACACGATGCTATGCTCAACACAAGTACACTGGGGATCAACGTTCCCAGTCTTACATCTCATGGCATGAGAAGAGGGTCTTGCTCACTGCCTCAAGTGTCTAGTGTGCCAGCCCACCACCACCTCACTGTTCTGCAAGACCAGATCCGAGCTGCTGTAACAACCACATCCACAATTTACCTTTTGAGACCAGTTAAAAGCAGACAGAGAAATCCAGAAACACATAAATGCTAGAATCTAGAAAAACATAATTTGCTGTTTCAGAGCAAGTCATAATCTGTACTTACTTCATTTTGTCATATTCCTGGGAGGTAGTGGTTACTCTCTCATCTCCCACATAAACCTCACAAAAAGGCCTGCAGCCGTTACGCTGCTTACTGAAAAGTGGAACGGGAGTCATGACAATTGATCTGACCAGGATGGGTTTGCTGTGAGGAATAATGGGTTCTTCAGCCATCATGTCACACATGTACTCAATGTATCTGCCAAAACCAGAAGGTACATTTAGTCAGAGCACAAAGTTCTAAGAAACAGGTGAACACATAAGTGAGTTACTTCAGTTCTTACTCAGTCACTAAGCACTGTCAAGTGTTAACAGTGAAACAGTGGGAACATTTATCACCACCTCCAGCAAACAGGTTTTCAAATCTGATCAAATGACACAAAAGGGTCTGTAGCTTTACATACAATGACTTGTAAAACAAGCTGGTCACTATTTCAAAAGGACTCAAAACATTTAACTAAGTGAACTATTTATTTTGTATCTTATACATAATGGATCACTCAAATCTTCCTAAAGGCTTTAAATTTCCCAATTAATATATATTATTTTGTGGAGAACCCCTCCAAAGCATACGTGAACTAAATGAGTACAAAAACATAATCTATCATTTATACTGAACTAATACCTTATTTCCCACCCTTCAAAATCTAATCCTTTTTATAGGAAACACACTTACTACCAGTGTCAATTGTTATTCATGCTTTATGGTTTTAAGATCTACCAAATTAAATCAAATAAACATTTTAAAACATTTGCCAAAGTACATGCAAGTTGTCTCTGGATGCACTCCTAAGGAAAAAAAAGCACTAGGCATTTTTACCCAATTGGCAGAAATAAATTCGGGTACTCCCTCAGAGCTTGCAGTGTTCTGACATAATAAAACCTATTGGAATAAACTAGGAAACATGAAATAAGCCTTACACATGTGGAAGAGGATTTTATAATTAAGAAAGCGTTCAAAAGCTCTGCATACCCTTGCCTTCATTCCTAACACTTCACCACAGCGCATACTTGACCCACCTCTAATGGATACTTACATGCTCAGAAAATTCAGAACTACCTTTTATTCACACTACAGCAAAATATTTGAATAGATGTTTGAATACAGACATTATTGAAATAATTTATGCTTCTAAAGACACCTTTAAAGAAACCAAGTTATTCAAAACTGAATAACTACTTGCTTCAACAGTACCTTACAGTACCTTTTATGAGAAGGCCAGATGCCAGGTGGGCAGCGTTTCATACTGAACATATAAACAGCAGCTTCAGCAGTAGTGAAGAGACGACAAAAGCACAGAAAGGAACAAACTACAACAGCAGATGCTGCTCTTCCATCCTGGTTTGAAAAAAAGTGGCCTTATTAGTAAATCTAGCAGAAAAAGCATTATCTAAGTTACTGAAGAACATCCCATTATGTATCTTCTATATCATCATTATATAATGCCACAATGTTGACGCAGTCCAGTCATGGTATCCAATAGTGCCATTATTTGAAGTTTGTATCTGAGCGTGAAAGGTTTTCATTTAACTTCCATACCATATAAAAGATACTACATATAACTTTCTTGTTCAAATGTGAATAACTACTTTAGCTATTTGAAATTTTCAATTTATGTTCTTTATCTTACTGTCACTAATACCCCTTCTTTAGGTTTGTTTCCTGCTGTCTGAAATCCCAGAACACTGCTATTTTGGACAGACAGCCATGGACTTCTGCTAAAAGAGAAGTACAAAGATTCCAAAGAACTAAATCTCACTAAACTCTTCAGACTTCTGTCTAAAACTGGTAACAGCTTGCCAAGAAACCAAGAGAAAGATATTAAAACAGCGTTTCTTTCTGCAGGAATCCTAGTTACACAGATATCTCAGATATCCCTGTATTATAAAAGGCAGAAGATTTGAAAGAGATAATAGTTGACAGAACACGACTTCTCCAGATTTGTTTGCTAGCAACATGGAACAGAATTTTTATCATGCACTTCTTAAAGTTCTGGTGTATACTTTTTACATCACATCTGACTCAAACCATGTATATACAAAAGTTTCCCTCACATGTGAGGAGAAGGAATGGGTTAGGTACATTGAACAAAACACTTTGAGGGAAAGATGTTACGAAAACTGGTGCTAAGTCATCACATCTGCTTCTTACCTACTTGACCAGCAATCGTGCAACACCAAGGTATTAGAAGTACTGCATTAATATAGAATTAGATGCCTAACCTCACAGCAGCACTGAAAATTATACTGGTTCTCAGGAGCTGACATGAACTGGCTTTTTACTTGCAAAACACTATATAACCCACAAATATGGTTTGTCGGATTAACAAATCCTAGTTTGATTCTGATAGCGGTATTCCCTATTGACAGCTATGCTGCATCACCAAACAGGTTCTGAATGCTTTCCAGCAGCATTGCAAGCATTGTCACATAGTCATGTTTCATTTTTTTTAATTGGCAGCAAAATAAGAATTTCAAAATTTCACATGCAATTCTCGTAAACAAATGTAAGAGACCTAATCTTCGAATTCTGAGCAAAGTATTCTTTTAATTCATTCCTCCCACCATCATGTTTGACATGAGGTAGCTCTATAGACAGTTTAATTAATTTTTTTGGTTATATCAAATTTAATAACACTTTGGAGAATAGTGAAGTCTACAGAGCAACCTCCTGCCAGCAAAACCAAGTACACCAGAAGTCTAACAGTCAGTTTCTGAAATTCTGTGCCTACAGATTACATTCTAAATGGACAGTAATGAGATATGCAGTGTACACCCATCTATCATACAGAAAACAAAAAATGGAGCAAACACTGAAAGAGTAGAGCAGTTGTTTTTTTTTCTTCCAAAAGCTACTTTGCCTTAATACTTGCCTTCCATTCTGAGTGCAAGACTACATTACCCTAACAATTTCCCTAAGGAGAAAATTGATACAAGTAACTTCCCTAAAAACACAGCAGGAAGGAATTGACCCTGGGGCTTCCAGTAAAGAAATCCAGTAACAGTCACAAATTGAATGGATAGTAACACCCTTATTCACAATTTTTAAAGCTCTATTGAACAAAGCACTTCAGACTTAAACTGTTTTCTTACAAGGCAATGCACAATGCAAACATTTTTCTGGTCTTGTTTCAGCCATAAATGCATGTTCTTGCAAATGCTATAGAGATTCTGAAGATTTGGTGCTCGTCTTGGTGGCCAGCCACATTCAGAAACCTGCAACAAGAGAGACAAGAGACAGTAGACATGAGAAATAGTATTATATTGTCACACATTATATTGTCACAACTTAGGTTATGCAAATGTCTACAAAGCACTTTTACACTTTAATGCCACCTTCATGTTGAAATGAAGCAAGATGCTCAAGGAAAGTAGTCTTACAGAGTGTAAACACCACTTTTTAGGATGAAGTGCAATAAAACTTCAGTTCTGTCTACAAATCAACTGCACAAGGAGAACTCAGATTACTATCTGAAATATTCTTAGAACAAGGAGTAAAATAAAACAGTTTTCAACTTCATTGGTGCATGTATACTTCAGCAAAAACAAACAAAAAACAAAAAAAGCCCCAAAGAAACTCAATATCAGAAAAATTAGGGTTCTTTTAATACTTATCCTTTGTTCAAAGAGCTTGAAACAGTAATATTCCATTTACAGTAACTGCCTCAAAACACTAACAAAACACTAACAGAAAATCAGCTAAGAATTCATAGCCTTAAAATTAACTGTCCAGTAAGGATGTAGCATATGAAACTTGACTCTTGGAGCACCTGAAACACCTGAAGGATAGATATATTCATGATCAAGGAAGCAAGTTACAAATGAAGCTTTTTCTATTTTAGTCACAACTGCAATTGCCAGATGTTGAAGACCAAGTTTTCCTATCAGCAACATGTCTTCCTATCTTGATAAAGAGTTCAAGAGTTACTCTGAAAAGAATTATCTCAACTGATTAACATAAAAAACTGCATTTGTGCCAAGCACAGGAAAAAAGGCTCAAATAAACAGTCTAAGTCTCCTGCAACTTTTCATTGTACTCTAGTATTTTAATTAAAAACAAGGCCGTTCCAGAATGCATCACTTTGCAAGAGTTTTAAATTGCACATTCCTTGTTAGTGCAAGCTTATGTAAGATCACCAGTAAACAAAGAAAAGCTAAGGCAAAAAGTTCTTTTTATCCATGTTCACCACAAGATTTAATGTGGGCTTCAATACATCTCAAATACTACAAGAGTAGTGTGTGCTGGTTTCAGCTGGAGTAATTTTCTCCATAGTAACTAAATGAGGCTGTGTTTTGTATTTGTGAGGGAAATAACGTTGTAAACACAGGTATTTTTTTATTTTTATTGCTAAGCACGGCTTAGACAGAGTTAATGTCTTTTCTGCCTCTCACATCATCTCACCAGTGAGCAGGCTTGGGGTGCAGAAGAAGCTGAGAGGGGACACAGCCAGGACAGGTCACCCCAGCTAACCAAAGTAATATTCCATACCACAGGACACCATGCTCAACCAATAAAGCTGGGGGAAAAAGAATGGAAAGGGAAACATTTAGAGTGATGGCATTTGTCTTCTGAAGTAATCATAATGCATGATGGAGCCCTGAACCCCTGGAGATGGCTGTACACCTGCCTAACCATAGGAAAAGGTGAATAAATTACTTGTTTTGCTTTGCTTGCACCTGTGTTTTCTGCTTTACCTATTAAACTGCTTTTATTTCAACCCATGAGTTCTCACTTTTACCTCGTGATTCCTTCCCCGGTCCTACCAAGAAGAAACAGACAACCAGGTGTGTGGGGCTTGGTTGCTGGCTGAAGTTAAATCACAATAAGTCAAAGGAATCATACTGAAGCATTGCAGCTTCAGACAAGAATGCAGCCTTAAAAAACATGTGTATACAAAAACGCAAAAAGTACAGACTTTCTTCCTTCTATTTTACCATTTATTTTCTACTCACACACTAGGTTTCCTACAAGATGTAACAAAAACATTACTTTCCGTTTCTTTTGCTGTGTTTTAAGCTCTAAGTGTCCTGACAATTAGTAGAATGATGGATAGTGCACAAACTATCAGAGCAACCTATTCCAAGGACTCAAAACTAGCAGAGAAGACTTCAAAACTACCATTAATTTTAACCAAGATTAAATAAATTTGTAGAAGTTCCATACAGATAGCAAAAACAAGAAATCAATAATACGTAATTTCATACATACCTTCTAAGTAAAGTGTCAGAATTAAGAATTCTAGAAGCTTTTCTCCTCTAATCATGTTTAAAGGCTTCCCATAATCATCTTTTGCAGGCATTATAGTAAAACTAAGCTTCTTTAGGTTCCTACATGGCTGCTCTCACCCAGCACTGAACAATTAAGTTAGCCAGTATTGCTGGACATCTCAATTTCAAGAACAGCCAGGTAAAAGTTCCAAATACAGTTATAGTTTGTTTCCAAGGAAAATAACTGCCTTCCTACATACTCCTAAATAATAAAGTGGTCACAAACCTGTAATGTTTCAACTAACTATGACCTACTATGACTTCCCAACAAAACCAAGATCATATTACCATTCCTAGTACCAACACATCAGGTGTACAAACACCTTAGACTTGCATAACCAGAAAATCCATTGGTAAGCAAATTCCCAGTCACAAAATTTATCATTCCATAAACAGGGATTGATCACTTTGCAGGATGTGGAATAAATCAGTTCACTACACCAGTCTCAGACTTTCCAGCAATCTAGTACTAAAAAGAATTGCTGAACATTTTGCTTCAAGGTACCTGCTACAAATAATCACACAGTAGATTTCCTGCATATCCAAGTTTTTTTGCCTTCCATCTTGATTAGCCTCTACCCAGACCTCATATTGAACCAGATACAGACAAAGAAGCTGACTGGATTCATCCAAAGAGGCAGTAATGACTTCTTTCAGGTGTGACAATACTTTATCTTGTTCACAAGGAAACTAAAGGAAGTGATAGCATTAGGAAAAATACATTAAATATACCTCATCCTGACATGTTAAGTCAACTCTGATTACTGAAATAATGCTAAGGATGGCTCTGCATATAGCCCAAAAGGCTTTATTATTCTGCAACAAGTAATGGTTCTAGGCTGTCTTCTTGGCAGACAGTATTTGTGGAAGGGGCATGATCACTACAGACTATTAAGGTGCTGGGCAACTCAGAACACAGTAACAGTCCTGACTGTTGAGCCTCTTACAGGACAATTGAGGTTTACTTAGGAGCAGACACTGAAGTCCAGTATTTCAGCACCTAACAAGATGTCCTCAATACCTTGTTGCTGAATTAGGCAAATGACTTCATATTAGTATCAGATAAATTGCCAGGAAGGATAATGGAGGCTCAGCTAAGCTACAACAACACTAAAGATGGTGAGAACAATCAGTCAGCTATGGCAGAGTCATATGGGAGTCAAATGGTATGTAGTGGGACAAGGAGAAACTACAGTGAACAGGTTATGCAAATCAGTCACTATGTTTTGGGAAAGGAAAATGTCCTTGATAAAGGAGAATGGCAGAATATAGGAGAGATTGACATTTTAGTAAGATCTTAATTGCTCTAAGTACCCTCCACTTAAATTTGAAACACATAAGGTATGTGGGCATGTTTTCAATGATATCACTATCCTAGAAAAAATTGACTTTAGTCAGTAAGATTAAAGATCCACTACCAGTTAAGTTTGGATTTAAAGCAAAGACGAGGAGAATATAGGTTACTCTTTGATCTTGTGTAATTAAAACTGTGTTTCAAGGCCCTTTAGAAAAATACACAAAAACTATACACACCCTGTTATGGAATCTTGAAGGCCTGTATGTTCTTGGAGAGAGATTGTACACAGCATAATGGCCAGGATGCTTAGAGTCCAGACACAACCGCACATCTTCTATGTTATTTTTGATGGCAGATTCTACACCTTCAGCTGGAAAGGACATCACTGAAGACAGAACAAATAGCAATTGAAATTTTTCATATAGCATGACCAAGGAGAAATTATGTTTAAGAAAGATATAGATATCATACCAGCAATTCTGGAAGTGATATATGATATATCCAAGTCTCCTTTTGCATAACTGAAAGAGAACACATTGGCATTAATAGTGGGAGATATAATCATTCAAGTCTAAAAGCCAGATCTCTCAAGTGACACCCGCCGCTACAAATAATGTTTTATTTCCTCCATCTGAGGCTTGTTACAATTACATTTTAAGAGTTTCAGAACAGAGCTTTCAGAACAGATACTGTGTTTAAGCACTTATTCATTTAAATCAGTTGCACCAAAACCACCTGTGGGATTTGTACAGATGCTTTTAATCTTTAACTCACTCCTCTAGCTCCCGCTATTACTAATAAAAATGCACCGTAGGGTGTCAGTTTGAAAGCCTAATGAGGTCACATTAATCTTTAATGAAGAATATCACAATGCTTAAAAGAAAGACTACTAGCTGATCATCAAAGTTTAAATTACATAGCTCTGGCATGTTACTATCTGGCACAGATGGCCAATATCCAAATTCCATACGGACAGTGTTAGGAACACTTCCCTGTCTAGCCATTCAGGAAGGACCCTGAGTCACACTCAAACCACCATCAAACTTGTCACTGCCAGGACTGAAGCCCCTTTGCAGATGGAGACCCAATGGGTGCCCAACTTCACTCCTTACACACCCCACATTCACACAGTCAGACCACCTTCCCTTAGCTGGACCACAGGCTTCCCATAGCAGAGTCCCAGATCTACAGCTGCTTTAAGTTATTTAATCCTCTTGCAGCAACAGAGCTGGAGCTCCTGCCTCTCAGGAGAAAGTACCAAGAAAGGAAATGGCGGGCTTTTACACTCTCAGTGGTCTATGGGTGCCAAAATCTGTGTCTTCCTCCTGAGTCCTTGGCTCCTGCCATGTTTCAGTGTCCAGTCACCTGGCTGGCTCACAGGTCCCTGTGACCTTTGCTGTGCCAAACACTGGCAATTCCTGACATCTTTCCTCAGGCTCCCAGGCAAAGCTCAACCTGAAGCTCCCACTGCAGTTGCACCCCAAGCTATCTGCACTCAACATAGAGAGTACTTAAATCTCTTTCCTCATTTAAATAATTCTTCCAAAAATTCACTTCCAGAATTCCCATAGTGAGCAAGGCATCAGTCATTATGCATCTCTCTCTCACACAACTGTGCACAGTTTAAAAGTGCAGCCTTCTCAAAAAATCTCTTGGTGATACTTAAGTCTGTTCCCTTCGCCTTTACCTAATCATCCACATTATGGCAACAATTAACTAATTTAAGACCACTATTATTTTTTTGTTGTTTCTATGGTATCTTCTATGCAGCAGAATAAAAAAGCAAGAGAAAAAAACTGAAGAGACCCAGTGCAGGCCAACAACCTTAAGTGTAATTACACAGGTCTGCATTCCTGGACTGGCAAAATAAGAACAAGTCTCACCAACATAATTTGATTTAGACAACCCTAACTTAAATATCTCAGTAGCCTATTAACTCCAGAATATCAAAACACCATCAAAACACTATGATGCATATAATTAATTCAGAGGCACCAACAAAACTTCTGTATCCCAACAAAATTTCAAGACACTGCTTAGAAAAGCAGATCTAGGACACTACACTGAAATTTTGAATCACAAGAAAGAACATTAAGTTTTGATTCTTTACTGCTTGCTAGTAATGATGGAGGCTAGAGGGATTGATTAAAAATATATATTGTATATATACACATTATATCTGTATATACATATATAAATGTATATTTAATATACAAGGATAGTGAAGAGGATTTTAGATTAGGGAAGAAAATATTCTGAATGCAAGGCCATTTAACAGTATTTATGCAGAACGGCATAATCAGTGTCCTAGCAATGATAATGATTCACTGTCTTAAACTGAAACCACAAGGAAGTTTTAGTCTCACTAGACAAAGCATTTAAAAAAAACCAAAATCTTCAGCCTTGGGAAATCTTGCATAAAGAGGTAGACAAATGGGCACAATTTCAAAATTTTTTGCAGCTTTGGAAGGACATACCTCATCCTGTAAGCTCAGGTGGTAATCCTGTTGCAGACAGGATCCTAATGCAAACTAATTAAGGCAGACATTTACATTCAGAGCTAATAATGATTGCTCAATAAAATTTTTGATGATTGTAGTCCTTTATAAAAATGAGAAATACAAATGCCATTTGTTGATTACATCCAAGAAGCTTCAAGCAAGAAAACATGTAATCATTCTATTATCAATTTTTTTGGTATCAAGATAAAGGACCAACTAATATGACAGCTGTAGAACACAGAACCATTATCCCTGCAATGCTGTAACACTGAGGTTAAGCAGCAACTTGCAACATTAGCACAAAACCAGTAAGAGCAAAATACCAACAATACTGACATCCATTATTCCCTTGGGAAGACTTTCAGATATTGACTTCTTACTACCAACACGGCTCAACTCAGCTTTTTTTTTTACATTTGTATAAACTAAAGAGCAACATCAGGAGCATGGATCTCACTATACACACAGAGATGTAAGAGTGCAGTTCAGTATGTCAACAACAGAGCACAGCATAGCCAACTTTAGCTTTATATTTTGCAGGAGTGTTACATAAGTATGTGACTATTACACTCTAAAAGCTTCAGAATTGTTGCACAGTCTTAATTAAAATGAAGCTTCTTAACTGTAAAATCAACACAAGTTTACAGAACGTGTCATCATGTCCTTGAATTCACTGAACTTTACTCTGAAGATTTCACAGCTACTTCAGTAGTAAGACCTGAGCACAAGGTATACTGTTTTCAGCAGAGTGTTTTATGTCAGAATGGTAACAGAGATTTCTTTAAATGGTAAGAAGGTTACCATTATTAATGAATAGAAGAATAGCAATGTATTCTTCATTGTTTAAGCGTACCTATGCATTTCAAGATAAAACTCTCTAACTAAAAATCACAAATAAGGTCTTTCATATGCTTAACAGCAGAAATTTCATTTAGATAGCAGTTTTGCTGGCAGGTGGTAAGAGAAGAAAAGTGTGCAAACATAGACATACACAGAGTGTTTTCAGCCTCTGATCCAACATGGCAAACTCTGTGTGCTTTTAAGGGTCTAACTAAGCTCAACAAAAAGTGTGATATGACACCAACATTTAGTCACTTTTCTGGTGATACCAGGCTTCTTCAAAACTGGGACTACTTCATTGTGGGATGGGACTAGTCTAGTCTCTGTATGGAGGGTTATTTCCTTACAATGTCTAATGGGGGTCTACAAGAAAGCTGGAGGAACTTTTTGCTAGGGCTTGTAATGACAGGATATGAGGGGATGGCTTTCAATTAAAGAGAGCAGATTGATATTAGTCTAGTTGAAGGTGTCCCTGCCCATTGCTCAGGGCAATCAGATGCTGCTTCCAACACAAACTACTGCTTGATTCTATGAAATGAAGCAAGTAAGACATGAATTCTGATTTGGCAGAATAAATATCAAAGCAAAAATAAGAAGTTCTAACTCCATGTTAAAAACTTCTCACTGTGTAAATGGTTGGCACTATCATTCTTGCCAGAGACCAGATGCACCTAAAGACTGTAATATTAAACAAAAGACCATTCCAGCAAATTAAAAACTAAAAGGGAACTAAAATTAGCAGCTAAACTCACAAAATAAACTAGTTAATAAATATACAGAACAACATTCTAAAATAATATCTTCTGTTTACTAACAACTGAAGATGATAAAGAACAAAGAATGACAGACTAACCAGCACAGCTACAATGTAAGCATGTAAACCATTAAGTTAAATACTGCCCTAATACTAAGCAATCTTCTGCCAGACATCTCTACACTTAAAAGATTAGAAAAAAATATCTATCCATCGCTATTTTCAGCTTATTTTTTAAAAGCCAGGAAGGAAAACAGCACTAAAATTCATATCAATCTGTTCCCACTTGGTTTTGCTTCATAAAACTGAATTAATCATGCGACTACCTAGTGCAATGAAAAGATCCATGAAATAAAGTATTAAACAAGAAAATGCCCTTAAAAGCAAAGAAAGCAAGCATAAAAGGCAGCTAATTGTTCCTAGATTACTACATTATAATCTCTTCACCAAAAGAAATTGTTCTGACAAAGCAAAGGAAGACTGATCACAAGTTTTGCCTGCTGTTTTCAAAACCAGTGAAGATCTGATCCTTAGAACATTTAGCAATGTTTTTTGACAGGGCATTTGTAACTTGTATGGATGCAGGCCTCAATAAGCATAAAAACTGGTCACGGGCATATGGATGCTAAGTGTGAAGCAGGGAGCACGGTGCCTGTGGAATAGCAGACCACATAACTTTCTCAGGCAACTCTGTTCCACAGGCACTGTGCTCCCTGCTTCACAGTTAGCATCCATATAGGCACAGGAGCTCCACAAGCAAGAAGCTGAAGGGCTTAACAGAGAAGTACTGTGGCTGCACAGCTGCAGGCTGAGCTTTCAGGCGCACATGGCCATATCTGCTGGATCCAAGCTCCTGCTTGTGAAGATGGTGCCACTTCACAAAGTAATGTGTATCTTCTCAATCTCCGCCCTGGTACTTGTTTTTAAGTTAGTTTGTAACAGGAGGGTTGAACCTCTGTTGCTCTCTGTCCTCTCTCACGTAACTATCAGGCTGCATCTGCCTGACCTGAACCTGCAACAGAGATTATGACACTTGCAACTGAGGTAGCCTGGGGGACAATAAAGATGGTCTTTATTTACTCTCCTGTTCCTAGCAGCTTGTAATGTGTGTTTCAGTTATCAGATTTTATCATTTATTAGGACTAACAAGAGACCAAAATCAGAATCAAGCTAAAGGTAGCTACAGAAAAGAAAAAAAAAATATTTTTTTTGTCACAACAGAAAAAAAAGTTAAATCTCACATCACAGTTTGGGATTCAGTGAGATAGAAGTCTATCTGTAGACAAAGGAAGTAACTCTGTAATTCAGAAAAGCAATGATAAGTAGGAAGGAGAGAGCCTACCTAATGAAATGATAGATTCCAATACGAAAAGTACTTAAGTGGGGTGAGGAAAATGCACAACACAGAAGAAACATTTTAATTTTTCCAGAACATCTGTTTCTTATGTTGGTTGAAGGGTTCGGAAGAGCAGTCAAAAATGCAACAGCAGAAGAGGTGTTCTCACATTGGCAATTGTATCAGCTATATCCACAACACAAGTTTGTGAAAGCAGAGAAATGAACATGACAGAAACAGACATGCCCTATAGTAGATGCAAACAAAGAATTAACAATTCAGCTTGATTAAAACGCAGTTTAAGAATGCACAAGCACAGTGGTAGAACTCTCAGCAGAACATTGAATGTTAAATGCTAGCATATACTATATACAATACTAAAGAACATAAGCCTACCTCAGGCTCTACAGAACAGTAAGTATTGGTCACGTTAATTCATGTTTTGCCATTTCACTGAACTGCTAAATATACTAAGGATTCAAAATAAAAGGCAATACAAAGAATGAAAACTACACAACTCAGGGCTGCTTAATATTGGCAAATTACAAGTGGACTTTGTCTTTCAGTCACTGGAAAAGGAGTATTAAAGTAACTGATTCTCACTGGCAGAATTACATGGCTGGAGCATTCCCTTTTTTTTCCCACTCCTTAGCCCAATAACTAACTCCACTTAGATAACACAAGAAAAGAAAAACACAGTTGTACAGAGATAGAGGGTGCTCCACAAAACCAAAATTTGCTTATGATAGTGCAGAACTTCAACAAAAAATATTTCACATATTGTGTCAAAGGTGATGGTCAAAAGTCACCTAAACAAAAACCCTTACTCAACCAACCAAGTCCAAGGGACTGGCCTCCTCGTGATAATCTTGGGACATAGCACACACTGACAATCCTCTGCCAATCCACCACAGTACATGCAAACATGTATTCTTTAGTAGCTTGAAAAGGTCTCTGGCTAATTGATCTTATTTGGATATGACAATACACCCATCCATTAAAAGCTACATACCAGTACGAGGTCAAACAACTACATTTTCAAGATACTTCAAATCTAGTAAACAGTAAGCATCCACATGTGACTTACTGTAATTCAAACAAACGAGGTAAAAGTAGTGAGTTTTCCTTTGCCTAATATTTAGTAAGTTCCACAAGCCATGCACTAAGCTGTTGTGTTCAGCCACAGAACACTAACTAGCAACTGAGAAGAAGCATATTAAGTCTTGACAATAAGACAGATGCAAGCCTTATTTTTGGCAGTCATCATAAACTAAACAAACAGTTGTAGAGAAGAGCATGAGAACTGAGCAGAGTCTTTTCAGACAGCAAGTACTCACTGTCCAGTACTTCAGAAGTTGCTAGGTGAGCTCTTCAGAAGTGGTTGGATGTACAGTTACTGTTTTATTCCTTGCCCACTACACTTACTATGGAAGCAAAGGAAATCACACAAAGCAAAAAGCTACATACATCTGTAAGGTAAGAGAAATAAAAATGAGGTGTAGGCACAGCACAAGCCACTTCATGTTAAAAAGATAATTTCAGACACCACTAGAACAGGAAAAAGCTGCACAAGTTGAAATTCAAAAAAAGTAATTAAACTTCCAGTAGCCTTTAAGGAGAAAACCATTTGCAAGAGCGGGAAGAGAAAACTTCAAATATAACTAAGTGACAGAGGTGCACCCAGAAAGTCACGTGGAGTCAAGAAGACTCCACAATAAGTCAGTAAGAAAGTGAAGTGTAGGAGTACTTCAGATGAACTTAGTGTACAATAAAAACATAGTAAGATCTAATACACAGCCATGGGAAAGTAGGGCTTGTAGCTTTGTCATAACTGCTTTTCACTCTGAAATAGTTTGCTCCCCTTGTAAACCTCCCTGTCCTGTGTCCATATGGTTTACCCTGGAAAAAAAGTCTAATGTCACTGTCCCAGTTATTGCTATAGAAAGCTTAAGGACAAACCAAAGCCGTGCACCTTTTGCAACCCTTAAAATATAGAATACCTGCCCTTTCTAAGCCATACTTAGAAGTTTTAACAGTCTAACTGTAAGAGCAAACAGCAAAAAACACACTTGAAGTGGATACAGAGGTGCAGATACAGAGAACCTGATCATTATAGATATTTTAGAGCACAAGTAACACACAAATTCTGAAAAAAAAACTACATATGAAGAAATATGCATAAAGCTGAAACATAATATTTCAATTAAAGGACACAAAGCCTACAGTGAGAAACAGATTTGAGTATTCTTTTGGAGGCTCTAGTTCAGACATAGTAGTGACTTACCTGCTCTTATTAGAACAAAGAAAACCCTTTAACACTGAAAACAGAATTTTATTATGATCATAAGGAAGTATTAGAAATACTTGAAATGGGACTGACAACCTGATTGTAAAAAATAGTCGCACAATATGAATCTGAAAACATACACCTCTAAACATGTGAGCATTCATACATGCAATACAGGGCAAAGGAGACAAACAGTGCAGTTGGTCTCACACTGTCTTGAAGGCATAGGATTCCACCTGGAAACTAAACTGAAGAGCTTATTTCCCTGCAGGCTTTTTCCCCTCCTCACATCTATTCCCTTGATTTGTACCTTTCACCACTCCATCTTTTTAATTCCTCTCCTATTCATGAAGGCCCCATCTAATAATTCAATTCTCCATGCTGCTCCAGCCCCCACCTGCTTATCTCTCAACAGTTTTCAGTATCTAAAATACAGTAGGGCAAGTAGTGCTTATGGACAGGTTCTTACTGCAACATTCTCAATCCTATTAATAATTAATTATGACTGTTGAAGTAGCTTTTTTATTAAAATCATACATAAAATCTCAGGGGTAGCTATCAGCTATTACAGCTCAAACTAGGATAAATATGCTGAATTTACCATTTCTGGAGAAAGCTCCTGTGCCTTCATTTAGAAATCTTACCAGCACAATTTTTTTTTCAAATTTTGGTGGTTTTTTTTTTACTCACTTGGCCACAGACTGGATAACTTTAGAAGATGTATCCTTAATATTAGTGAAAAATCGCTCTGTTCCACCCCTCAGAATATCAAAGAACCCTCCATAAGTCTGGTCACATTCCGCAACGGTCAGGCCTAGAGCAGTTGAATAAAAATAATTGTACTTTATTATAGAGCCCATTCCAGGATATGACTTAAAGTATGATGCCTATAAAGCTGGAAGGAAGTGAATGCACATACAGGCTACACCTTGCTGTAAGGCTCACAGTTCCAAAGTTCTCCTTAACTATGACCTATGCAAAAAATAGTACTTCCTGAAGTTGGGAATTATGAGTGATATACTTAACACACTCTCTAATTTGCTGTCCATATTTATGAGAAAACAAGGTAAAAAATTCTGGAAGTAAGGCATATATTCCATAGTGTTAATGCAACAAAACAATGCCTTTCTTTAGTACCAGTTTCTAAAGTGCAGCTTATCATTAGCAGATCTACTTAATCATCTCCAGTAGACAAATTTTAATGCAGGGCTTTAGAAGCAGCTGGCATAGTTAATCTTAAATTTTAAACACAACATCCCAGATAGCCCATGACAGCGCAATATCCCTGTTAATATGATTGTATACAACAAACAGTAGGCATTCTTGCACAAAACAGATGACCAGACTTTTGATTTTAACTACAATAGGATGCTGGATTCTTCCACAGAAATTAATATATACATGTTATTAGTGCAATAAATGTCACCCAATTTTAATATATCCCCTGGAAAATTAATATCTCTTGTCTCACAGACAGTTCATCATAATTAATATCAAGCTGGAAGGAAAACGGAATACAATATGAAACAGACCCTTGATATCTTCTACTAATTGAAGTACTCCATATTCAGATATAATAATTAATAAGGGTGCAGAAAGAATAGTAAAAAACTAGATGTAAATAAGCCTATCAAGCTCAAATTCTTTATGATATTAAGTATTTTCAACTGAATCTACTCTGGAATATCCATTTCTGCAGACTAAGTATGTCAGCTTTTAACTATGTCACTTTGGAGACATATTTTGGTTGATTCCATTTAGTTCTGCTAATCCAACCACTGTTCTTCTCAGATGGAACCCCAGCTCCTCCTCCTCCTCACCACTCATATCCTGTGGTGCAACCCGTCTCCTGAAGTCTGGCCTGGACAACGCTCCCATAATTAGCTAGGCTCAAGGCAGTACCAGCTACAGCTGCTCCTGAAAGTAATGACTGGATAGCCGCTAGACCAAACTTAGACTGCTGCCTTTTCTCTTTGAGGCTGTCAGACATGGATCTTCTGGAAATGAAAAACTAAATAGCTTTAGACTACTATCACTGTCAGATGCACTTCAAAATATCATGGAGGGTCAAAAGTCTCCTTGGGCAGGAGACAAAAGGAGAGAGAGGTGGACCCAGATGCTTACGGAAGTATTTCTTCCTTATACAGGCTTTTTGCAGTCTAAAATAAATACATATAAGGTCAGCAACTTCCGAGCATTACTAAACAACTATGGTCCACTTCCAGAATTCCTACAGCTGTTTTTTCATTTCTTTACTAACCTCTCCCATTTGCCAGAAATGAAGCCCATTTTAACACAAAGTGATACCAACATACCATAAATTGCTGCTACCTTTTTATTATTTATTTATTTAACACATCTGATGGTAAATAGTTATTCTTGAAAAGCAAAGGCAACTCTCACTTTTTTTACCTGAGATTCAGTGTTGAACACAAACTCAGGCTATGTCCTGATATCAATACCTCCTGCCACAAAGTAACAATGTTTCAATTAAAATACAGAACCTAAGGATTTTTAACAGTTTAAATTCAAATGCCTATTAAATGCTGCCCTTCAGACAGTGCACTTTGAAATATCATTGCCTCATTGAATCAAAAAGTTTCAGGGTTTAAAATAAGCTATTTTCACCTGTTTGTCATAACCTGGAGACTCTTCCTCTACAGCTCTTATTCATTAGACTATTATTGCTTCTCATATTCACACTTTCATTGCTTTTAGTTCACTTATGTCAATACTCCTGGCTCTACTGGTCTACATAGTGAACCTTAAAGATTTTTCCATAGGAAACATAATTTTTATCTTGCACCAGAATGCACTTGAGAAATTCGTATTTGCATGTATCAACATAAAATCAAACCTTACAAAAAAAAGTTAATACAAGGCTAGAAGCAACGATATAAATGCCAAAGAACTAGTACTAGTGCAAAGTACCTAAAACCCCCAATGATCCCAAACTATTTTTTCTCCCCCATGAAAGATATGCAATTATCTTTATACTAAAATGGCACTTCTTTTTGAACATACCTGCATTGTACAAATTGTTGAGCTGCCCTGCAGGCTTGGAGCTCTGTGAAACAGAGGTCACAGATGTCCGAGGCTGAGCATTGTTTCCATAGCCTCCATTTTGTTCCAGGAGCTAAAGAGAATAATACTCCAGATGAGAATTTTCTTGCTAATTTAGCCATCTTGCTATGCTTGGCAATTTACTGCTACTTGGTGAGAACAAACAAACTGAACCGCAGGACAAAGCCAGAAAGTTAAGATACACTGACTCACCAGCAGTACAGTGCAGATTAAGCATTGAACAGGACAAGTTAGTGTAGGCAGAGCCTTCAAATACAAAACTTTTCTGTGCAAGTTAATTATGATAAAACACAGCATGTCAAATAGAGTGCTAGCATACTAGGGAATAAACCAAGAGGATGAGAAGATTTTCAAAAAGCAGTAAGAAATACTAAATTTCTTTTAAGGTCTCTGTGCTTTGAAGGGCATATTTTCAAAGATCCTACAAGTGATACTGAGCAATTCAACTGAACTTCAAAATAAATTAGTGCAAAATTTTCAAACTACTAAGGAACAGGGGACCTGCTTTGAATTCTTTTATTAAATGCACATACATGCAGAGGACAGAGAAGAGGCCTAATCAATAATACTCCTTATGAGACATTTTTACCTCTGTGATTGGGGATTTAGGATTGACATTCCTAGCTGCTGCAATCTCCTGCAGTTGGTTCACAAGCTCAGTGATTGACAACCTCTCCTCTGGGTTCACTTTCAAAGTGGAGCCTAAAAAAAGGAGATTCAGACCACATAACAAACCCTTCAGAGATTTTCTCCCAAGTGATAATAATTTCTTCAATACATTCTACTGCAATAAACAAACACGTGAACAGAGTGAAGAAACTGCTAAATCAATATTTAAATATAATTCTCATAACAGTATCCATGAGAAAAAAAACAACACTACAAAGGGTCAATAATATTTCAAAGAATACACTTTGAGATCAGTTAATAAAGAACATCAGAGGTAACTTTGTGTCTAATACTGTTGCAGTTGGATAAATTTCTGGAACAGTAACTGACACTTCCAGTAATCTAACTGAAACCAAAAGTAAACAGAATTTTTTAAGCAAGTTCAAAGAAACCAAATCAAAACATTAGCTGTTCTAATGGATTCATTCATATACTATGCAAGACAAGTAACATTTAACAGAACTAAAAAAGCAACTTTCACATAAAATTTCATTATTTTTTATAATGGATTATTAATAAAATAAGAAGTTGCTGCAGTTTACCTTTTTCACCATCACGTGTCAATAACATTTAACTATCAGTAAAACAACTGTCAATAACAACATCCACAAAGACACCAAATAAAATAGCACTGTAAACTTACGAATGAGATCATGAAACACAGAATAGCGGGTGTCATTTTGTGGGATGACATATTTTCCATTGACTATGCGAAGTTTAGCTCCATCTTCAAATGGGTGTTGCCTAAAGCACAGCAAGTACAGGATACAGCCCAGAGCCTACAGAGATAAACAGAAATACTGCATAGAATCATGGGGACCTTTAGGTTGGAAAAGACCTCTACGATCCTCAAATTCAAACGTTAACTCAGCACTGCGAAGTCCACCACTAAACCATGTCCCTCAGTACCATATCTACATGTCTTTTAAACATCTCCAGGACTGGTAACTCAACCATTGCCCTAGACAGTCTCTTCCAATGTCCAATAACCCTTAGAGCGAAAAAATCTTTTCTGACGTCCAACCTAAACATCCCCTTGTGAAATCTGAGACCATTTCCACTTGTTACTTGGAAAAACTATTCTAGTCTATTTTTAAAAACCACTTAAAAGTCATTACAAGAAATCCATTTTATGAATTTCAAAGCATACAAAAATGAGGAGTCTTGCCATACTGAAAATGTCCAAGAACAGGATTACTCCTTCAAAAAAGGTTCAGATGTTTTATTTCATATCTCCATATGATATCTCCATATATCTTCATATCTGTGATGCAAGGTGACACATATGTCAAGAGACAATTTGGTTTAACTTAGATACATTGTTTTGCAATACAAAAGCTAGGTGATTATATAAGTGTTAAGCAATTTGCTTAAATGACACGGAAAACACACAATCTCTCTAAAATGCATCTTCTGGTAAAGGCTTGAAAAAAATTACCCAAAATGACAGTCCCTTTATTCCCTATGGCCAGATGGCTATTCAACTCTTGAAACAAATAAAATTTATGACCATTTTCAGACAATCTCATTCAAGCCTCAAAAATTACAAAACCTGGACTACCACATCCTGGGAACTTCAAAGTTCCTTCTTATGTCCAACTTGAGATTTTTGTAACCTGAGAAGACAACTGAGAAGTCAGTTTTGAATTCTAATCTCTGAATAATCTAGGTATTATGGATTAGCTAGGATAATTGAATCTGTTACTGAAGTAAATGTAAATTGATACATATTTTTTCAAATAAACTAAGATATGAAATATGCTAGCAGAGTTATACTATCATAACAGAAATATATAAGTTTAAAATAAAAAAAATAAATAAAGCACCCAATGCCTCCATGAGTTGGAAAATTCCTCCTCAAAGTTTCTTCTGAACTCCAGTATGTATGGTTGCCTAAGCATATGGGCTTTTATAATCCTCAAAAATGGAGCAATCCAATGAAGATGTTACCTAAGAAAACTGCCCACTGCCTCCAGTCCTCTGTGTGTACCATCTCCAACTGCCCTTGGTTGTCAATTTATCCCAAGAACAGCTTCTAAAGTCTGAAAGTTATTGAAGTCTCTGAGGTGTCTCTGATGGATTTAGTTACTCTGAAACACTTATTGAGCTCTCAGTCCAGGACCAGAAATAAAGTACATATATTAATTCTGTATATACTTCCACATTTTTGTCAGGCTGTAAAAAAACTCTCAGTAAAATATACGTAGAAGCATCACACAGTCCACACTAACTAATCCATCAGGGCAGTACAGAAAATATCATCTACTCTTCCACAGAACACTTGCTTACAAAACAGAACATCATTTAGTTAGAGGAATGAAACTACTCCCTGTGAAGTCCAAGACACTCTGCACATCAGGAGAGAGCAACCACAGCCACACAGGAGAGAAAACCACCAAGGCAATCAGCTGAACACACAGGAAATGGAGAGGCTGCTCAGGTTTGATTTTTGCTTCAATTGCTGGAGAATGTTTTTAATTTCCTCTATTTTACCTATAATTTAGGATTGTAACTGTGATAAATTTTGTCTGCTTTAAGCACGGTCGTTCAATTTGACTAGAAGGCAATTTCAGTTGCAGCAAGGCAACTCCTCAAAGCCAACACCATCCACACAGCCTCAGCTACACCTGACAGAAGAGTCCATTCCCAAAAGGTTGTCCCAAACCTTCTGTACTGTTCTGTACAGTCCCTTTACAGAAACTGCCCGGGTCCATCTGAGCACTCACATGCCAGAAGGTAAAAAAGCAGAACCACAAAGCAATCAAAAATTACTAGGAGTAACTTTTTGACCTACTACTGGGCCTTTACCAGCAACTAATTTAAACCTTCTTTAAGGAGACAGTGGGATTTTTGGACAGTTCAGATAGTGTTTGAGGATTGATGTGATAAGGAAGGGGTAGGATTGTTTGGAACAAATGAAAATATCATTATTTTTCCCCTGACTAGCTTCCAGCAACAAGCAGCACACAAAAGTTCTACAGTACATCTGTAGGATGACACACATATTACACCAAAGTAAAATCAAACTCCTTGAAACCTAAAGAGATTGTTCAGCTCACATTGAATTAAAAGCTGCAGGATGTCTTGCATGGACCATTAAGATTTTTTAATTAGATATTGGTAAGGAGAACCCAACTTTGAAGTTTTGTTTCTTAACAAACATTTCCCAAGTCAACTCCTTTGCTTTTTCAGAAATCTTTGAGAGTGAGAAGATATGAAGGGCCTTTCAAGCATGGAGAAAAATCACTTGACAAGGAACAGCCTGTCACTTAGCTGACTGAACTGAATTTCAGTTCAGGAATTCATATTCATTTTGAAAGCAAGTAACTAAAATATGTAGCTATTCGGATTTAGTGTTTATTTTCTTATCTTTAGACTTAGGTAGGAAATGTACAGAAAGCAGTCAGCCAAGTCTAAGAAACTCTGGCCTTATAATGACACCTAATCATATTCCCATTGTGGAGTCAAGGTGGTTGATAACTAACCTTTGATCTGTGCTGCTGTTCTAAGACAGATATTACCTCTTATGTTTTTAAGCTCACACAGTGACAAACACACAGACTCAAGAGTGTCAATCACTCTACATGCTTCCTTTGGAAAACTGCTTTGTTTATCCTAACCGTAAGCTACAAATCATTTATGATTCCAGATACAGGGCCATATTCTACTGCCAAATACTTTTATATTTTTATTGAACCCAAAGCATAAAGCAAAAAATACAGAACAACATGTTCAAACCCAGATATGGTAAATAAAATAGATCTTCCCAAAGTACAGAAGGAGACAATCAACACATTAACACTAATATATAGTTACTTAAAAAAATAAACTGCAATTACTCTTTCGAGTATGGCTTTTATTAAACACATTTCTAGTTTTGCGTTTAACTGGATATTAATGATGCAAACATCCAGCCTGGATGGGCAACGAGGTCTTGAAGGAATTTAGGAATAAAAAGAGGACGTATCATCTTTGGAAGGAGTGTTAGGTCTCTCAAGAAGTATTTAAGGGGGTTACTAAAGCATGCAGGAAAAAAATTAGAGAGGCCAAAGCTCAGTTCAAACTTAATTTGGCAACTTTTTTAAAGGATAATAAAAAACATTTTTACAAATATATTAATGGCAAAAGGAAGGGTAAGACCAACCTTTATTCTCTACTGGATGCAGGAGGGATAAGTAACTGCAGATGAGGAGAAAGGGGATGTCTTTAATGCCTTCTTTGCCTCAGTCTTAAATGGGAAGACGTCTTGTCCTCAGGACAACTGTCCTCCTGGTTTGGTAGATGGTGGCAGGGAGCAAAATGGTCCCCCTTCTATCCAGGAGGAGGCAGTCAGAGAACTGCTGAGACACTTGGACCTTCATAAATCCATGGGACCAGATGGGATCCATCCCAGGGTGATGAGGGAGCTGGAAGATGAACTTGCGAAGCCACTCCCCATCATTTACCAGCAGTCCTGGCTCACTGGTGAAGTTCCAGATGGCTGGAAGCTGGCTAGTGTGACACCCATCCACAAAAAGGGTAGGAAGGAGGATCCTGGAAATTACAGGCCAGTTAGCCTGACCTCAGTACTCAGTAAGGTAATAGAGCAGTTTATACTGAGTGCCATCACACAGCACTTACAGGATGGCCAGGGTATCAGACCCAGCCAGCATCAGTTTAGGAGGGGCAGGTCCTGCCTGACCAACCTGATCTCCTTTCCTGACCAGCTAACCCACAAGGTGGATGCAGGAAAGTCTGTGCATCTTGTCTGCCTGACCTTCAGCAAGGCCTTTGACACTGTCTCCCACAGCACACTCCTGGAGGAGCTGGCAGGCCAGGCTTGGGCAGGAGCACTCTTTGCTGGGTTAAGAACTGGCTGGGTGGCCGGGCCCAGAGAGCGGAGGTGAATGGTGCTGCATCCAGCTGTCAGCTTGTGGTGTTCCACAGGGGTCTGTGCTGGGGCCAGTTCTGTTTAATATTTTCACTGATGGCATAGATGAGAGTATTGAGTCTTTCATTAGTAAATTTGCAGACGACACTAAGCTGGGAGCATGTGTCAACCTGTTGGAAGGGAGGAGGGCTCTGCAGAGAGACCTGGAATGATTGGATGGACTGGCAGAGTCCAGTAAGATGAACCTCCTGCAGTGCCACAGGCTGGGGACAGAGTGGCCTGACAGTGCCCAGGCAGGAAGGGACCTGGGGGTACAGGTGACAGCCAGATGAACATGAGCCAACAGTGTGCCCTGGTGGCCAAGAAGACCAATGGCATCCTGGCCTGGATCAAGAACGGTGTAGCCAACAGGAGCAGGGGGGTCATTCTCTCCCTGTACTGGGCACTGGTGAGGCCACACCTGGAGTGCTGTGTCCAGTTCTGGCCCCTCAGTTCAGGAAGGACGTTGAGACGTTTGAGCAAGTCCAGAGGAGGCAACAAGGCTGGTAAGGGGCTTGGAACACAAGCCCTGTGAGGAATGACTGAGGGACCTGGGATTGTTTAGCCAGGAGAAAAGGATATTCAGAGAAAGTGTATCTCTTTCTACAACTTCTTGAAAACTTTGTAGTCAGGTGGGGGTTGGTCTCTTTCCCCAGGCAACAACTGACAGGAGGAGAGGACACAGTCTCAAGCTGTGCCAGGGGAAATATTGGCTGGATATCAGAAAAAAAGTTTTTTTATGGCAAGAGTTATAAAGTACTGGAATTGTCTAACTGGGAAGGTGGTGGAGTCACCACCCCTGGATGTGGCACTCGGTGGCATGGTTTAGTTGAGGTGTTAAGGCATGGGTTGGACTCTTCCAACCTAGTGATTCTGTAATCCTAGCTCAGACTGACAGTATTTCATGCATATGAAGAGACCAAGTGATCAGAAAATTACTTTTTACTTTGTGTTTCTTCACATGCCTTAAGAACATCACCAACAGCTATAGAAACTGAACAAGCATTTCCACAATGTCTTGCAACTAATTTAATAAACTGAATGCCAGCATTACATTTTCTCAATTAGTCTTTTGACACACTACTGATACAGGTAAGAACTGAACAGCTTGACACCTGCCTCTGTAAAAAACATCCCATAAACTAAGTCACTAAGCACTACACTGCCGGGGAGTACTTCAGTACTGCAGCCTTATGCAGCTGGAAAAGGTACAGATTTTTTAGTGAGTCTGAGCAGCTTAGCATCTTTTCTACACAAAGCATGAATGATTTCTGCACTGTTCTCATCCTTGATATCTGTCAGCATTTTAACTACATGTCATACCTCAACATAATAATTTTTCAACTCAGCAATAAGACGTCCCAGGATTATATGCATGGCAGAGCACAAAAGGCAAGAATTTGAACCTAAGTATTCTGGATATATGGTGGCAAGCTCCAACTAAGCAACAGCTCTACCAAATGTTAGAGAAGTTCAGCATTGCCTCTCAAATGGAACTCACGCTTGATTTGGGAGAATACCTTGAATGGTACGTCTCATTCTTTTAACATCTAGATACAGAGTCCACACTATTTAAGTTTATTTTGATCTAAGACAGCATTCTACATTTATTTCAGTGCTTTAGTTATTTAATCAACAAACAAACATGAAGCCTGCAAAATCAGTTTGACTATGACATGAGCAACTATGATGCAGCAAGAAAAAGAAAAAACTTCTTACCCAAATGTCCTGCTTTTCACCAATTGGAAAATTTGAATACAAGTCTATCATTTCTGGTGTCCTGTACATTGGCGTTGTATTCCTTGTGATCTGGAGAAGACAAAATTTATTGAAACAATCTTTAATGATGACCTTTAGCAGCATTCAACCAAGGAAACAGCTCTCTGTGTAGAATGAATAGTACTCTCATTTTCAAAATTAATTTCAGAAATACTTGTCAAGGAAAAAGCCATCAATTGAATCCTGCAATAGTCATAACAGCTTTCACATAAGGTCACATGAAGACAGTAGTACTCAAACAACACTGTGATAGTCCAGAGTCCTCCCAAACAGCAAAGCACATAAAGAGACTGTTCTACATGATGCAAAAATGAACAGGAACCCTAATAGCAAAAATCAACAATAAACCAGTAAGTAAATTCATGCTCCAGTGCACCTCTCTCCCTTACTCAGCACACTTAATGACAGTGAAGACACATCCAAAGAGAAACTCTGCTCATAAGAACACCTGAAAATACCTCTTCTACCATCTTTTTACAAAGGCTACACAAGACAGTGGTACAACATCATCACTTCATCAATTGAATGCTTTCCAAGAATACCAGATTGCAAAACATGGGTTTGTCAGAAGTTGCACACATGAACTTAAGTGTATTTCTCTGGCTGATGTACTACATTAGATTTACTAGCATTACTCTCAACTCTATACTAAGAACAAATGCATTTTGGAAAAGTATACTGCATGGTAGATTTGGCTACTTTAGTCAAAGACACTGCAATACTGCCCATTCCTATTCTGCTGAGCAGACTTGCCTCTCATTAAAGTATAATTCAACTGAGAAAAACAGACTGGAAGGAATCAGGATGGCACAACCAGTTTCTTGTCAAGAGTGCAATTAGAAGAAGCCCTAGTAACCACTTCTGTTTTCACAGCAGATTGCAGAATGGATGCTGACCATGCTAAAGCAGTGTTTCTACATGTAGCCACAGAACACAAGCTATGATTTTAACTGCAGACAGTTTCTGAAATCTAACAAAATAAATAAAAAACTGAAACTTCATAAGTAACACTCTGAAACAATCTTCATTTGTCTTAGATGTCTCATTAATACCTGATTAATAGTAACAATTAAATTAATCCACTGTTGATATTAAAATTAAATCACATTAAAATAGTCTCACCTCTTCTTCAACCAGTGCTCTCTTCTGTGCAGACCAGTTGTAGTCTGGATAGTAAGCTATAGTTGTAGCACTACCGAAGTCACAAAGTTTAATTGTCCCCTGATTACTGATAAGCAAGTTTTCCACCTTCAAAAAGATGCAGAATAATAAATATTTTAAAAAGTGTCTTTTTTGCCCTGTATACTAACACACATGCTTTCATACATTGTCTTACTTGTGCATAAATACAAAAAACTAATCACTTTATCCAAAAATATTGTTTACAGAAGAACTAAGATTTCAGACAGTACTGTAGTTTTACATGGTAGCAACAAACCAAGTTTTAAAAGGAAACACCAAACACACCATGAACAGGAAACATTCAGGAAAGCAAGAAATAAACCTTGGGGGAAAATAATTTCATTGAAGCCTAACAAAAGGCCAGTTTTTCAGATGAGAACTTGTAGAAGCAGTGTCTTAGAATCCAAACGTTCTCAGGCATAAAACTGAACACTGTTAGCTTAACTGCAGTGGGATGAAGGTTAGGACTGCTATAGAAAAAAAACAGGAAGGTACTAGTAGAGAAGCAGTCTGCTAGGAGACACCCGTAAAGAGGCAGCTGTGACCCTGTGCAGAGACAGGAAACAGATATTTGAGGACTATGTGCTGCCTGAATAGATCATCATCCATTATCTCTGCCTTTTTCTACTTCATAAATTCCAACTGTAATGTATTATTAATTGAAATGTGAAAGAAACTTAAGGAAAGTAAAAGTATTGGGCAGATGTACTTGGAGTCAATCACAAAAGGACTAAAAAAAAAATTTTACCTCTGAATAAAGTTAGGAAAAGGTATCAAAGTTAATTGGCTCAAAACTCCGACTTACAGTTTTCTATGCTGCTGACTTTAGTTTATACTGCTAAAAAGGGTAGCAGAGTTAAATGATCCCTATTTGGCTTCTGGCTGCAGTAAGGCCTCTGTATCTTGCAGAACAACAATAATTTAACCTTGTTTTGCAGCCTCTGCAATGTGAGACCAACACAAACCCAAACAACTGTCTTTTCCCGTGTTTTATCTGTCAGGAGGGTATGTTCCTTGAGAAGAAAAAACTATTCTGACTTACAGCATTATCTCAATGTCTATGCAGCTGGCTATAAAAGAAATTGTGTATTTACTTGTAAATAGTTTTTTTTACCTTTTTCTTTTTTCCCAGAAGAGAGATGCACCTTTTCTAAAATAGCTAGGGGTTAGCATTCAGAAATTTCAAAGAATGGGTTATATGTCTTTATAACACTACCTCACAACATAAAAGCCTGTTCAATGGTACCAAGTGACTAAAAAAGGAGTGCTGTGTTACCAAAGTCAGGTTTGTATTTATGGGCTATACTAACAGCTAATATTAAAGCTTTCATCAAGAGTGTTGAAAATAATTAGCACATTTACTTCTAGAAGAGTGGTCTTATTTTCCTTTCCCCAAAGTACTTAAGGAGTAACAAATTTTCCTATTTTTGTATTCAAATGAAATCACATCAGGCTGGATACAGACACATGTGAAACTTCGACATTATTCAAAGAGTAAGAAACTCCTCTGTCTTTTTTTTATATTAATGAAAATTCAAATATATTCATAGGACAGCAGAATCTTACTGATGATTAGAGCTTCCTCATCTAAGCTATATTGAACAGGTGAACCCCTGTTTTGAAAATACAAAATTCAGACTCAGGTAAGTCCTTTCAAATCTCCAAAGCTCCTAAAGGTAGAACACTTTCTACAGCATAACCCCAGCTAAAGGCTAATAAATCAAGCAAGATAAAAAAAGCAAGCTGGTAAAAAACAAACAAAAAAACAACACCAAAAATCTAAGAAAGAAAATCTAACATGAATTATGCCTACCAAATTTTACAAATCAAATTCAAAACAAGTACTGAAGTGTAATGCAAGTATGCAAGTTATCAGTTCTAAAACTAACAGCTTATTATACATTCTCAATGGCAATGTAATCCTTCACAGACAATTCAATATTCTTCTCCTTTCTTTTTTTCTCCTTTATTCTTATCCTGTTCTTTTAAGTTTTAAGTCACACTCTTAACCCAGAACTACAGTTTATTAGTTGTAAATGACTATTTTATCCAAAACAAAATATTTAGGCTAATTCAATCAGCAAAACGTGATACACAACTTTCTGCTAGCTTGTTTCAGATAGAGTACAATCAGTGCCTAACTGCAAATACAAGGAAAAGATGTTTGAAGAGATGGAAGTATTTCGGTGATGACCATCACTAAAACTCAGTAGTTATGGCAAAGCAATAGATCTAAACACTATGCTCAAGAATCATCTTTAACACTACTCCAGCCCAACAGGCTCCTTTCATGCCTGTTCCAAAGTTCACTGCTTTATTTAAATATTGCAACATACCTTTAAATCTCTATGAATAATAGGAGGCTTCTGTTTATGCATGTGCTGAACTGCTCTGCAGGTCTGATAAAAAATCTTCAAAACAGTGTCACAAGAGATAGGTCCTTTGGATTCTACTTTCTTTAAGAATCCTACCAGCTGTCCTGCAGGAAATGAGAAAAAATCACATAAGCACACAGAGAACACTGCAAATTCTGAAAGCTTGACACAAACAGACCCATGTCAGGAAAGATTTACAGTATTGAGTTGTATTAAATATATTTTCTGAAAATGGCAAGTCCACATTGACTACAGTGAGAAAAGAGTGCTCTAAGGAACTACTCCTACTCTTCCTTTCTCTGACTAGTCTCAAACAAAACAACCTTAAACAAAACAACCTTAATGATTACCTCATATTTAAGACAAGGTTAAACTATAGTCTAAAAAAAACATGATCTTTATCCTATAAAAGGTAAGTTTGAACTCTGGCTCCACTGAACCATGATATCTTCTACAGTCATTCCAAGCCTGTAAGTTAACAAGCAGCTTGTACAAAACAGCTGCCAGAAGCAATGTGGACTGCTGGGGAAAGAGAAAGTTTACCTTTACACAGCTCTGTAAGCAGAAGAAACTCGCCCTGCCCCGTGTCTGATTCTTCTTTTCCTATAGATGCTGCAGAGCAAAACTGGACAATGTTGGGATGACCTGAAAGTTTTTTCTGGAGAACATGTTCAAGGAAGAGAACTCCCAAGTTCATAGATACTACTGCATCCAGTAGTTCATTTGAAAAGTTAGCTTAAAACCACAGAAAGCATAACAGCTGCAATCAATACCCAAAGCAAAACAGGGAAATACATGCCTCAACTGTAAGAAATCTGAGAAAGCAATCTAAGGTGATGTAATAAAAAGTCAGAATAAAATATTAAAAAATCCTTATGTTTACAGCTTGGAAGAAACTAGACTCAGTAACAGGTCTAGTTCTTTTTGTTTTTTGACAATGAGCAAGACATTTGCTTTTTGACAATTTGCCAAGAGCCTAGCATGAGTAGCAGGGACATCTTCTAATTATCAGCTGCTTCTCTAGATGGCTGATCAAGAAAGGGCTATTGTACCCTCACCTATCCTTCCCAAGGAAGTATTAAATATGCCATGATTCAGTTGTAAGTAATTAAAATAGAGTTCAAAACAATTAGAGGTCAGAAGGGGCAAGGAACTTACCCTCCCATCATTAGTAGTATTTTTTTATGCTACAAAACTTTATCATGTTTCACTTTCAGTTCAAAAATTTGAGGTATCATTTTTGAGCTATGTACAGGGGAGTACAATACAAGTGATCTCAGCTCCTGCTAGTGGAAGTCATGTTGCATTATGCCTGTCTGTGCCTACACTGAGATTTGTGCCTGTGAGACAATCACAATCTTTCTACAGATGCATTTACCAAGTCTGAAGAGAGAAAAGCAAAGATACTGTAAGTAGAACAAAGCTCTTAAAAAAGGGCAAGTTGGATCCACACAATTCACATTAATCTGATCTTACACATCTCTTCCACAACCCTCTATTCAGACCTGCAGGAATTAATTGCATTTCACAGTCTTATATCAGAAAGTTAGCAACAATTAACCCTTCATCATATTGTACACCTGCTTTAATGACTCTGACCTGTGAAAAATTTCCAATTAACATGAAGTTCTTTACTCTTGGCAAGATAAGGTCAAAATAAACAGGAAATGTACAGTGCTATGGTACTCTGCCTTGGAAGTGTACTTCTACTGGTGTTTAGGCTGAGATTTTGCCAAACATATCAGCAGTCATAAAAATAAATGTTTGAGTAGCTTAAATTAGGATCAGTGGGTTTGCCTGCTAATTTAAAATGAAGCTGGATGCTCAAAGGGGAACACATCAGCACACCACAGCTATTCACTGACTCTTGAAACAAACCAAGGGTCCATAAGGAGCCAGGCCAGGGAGAAAATATTGAACTTACTAAAATCAAGGATTGAAAACACTCCAAGATTACATTATACCTTAGTATCTGACATCACTACATATGGAGGACAGCAAGGACACTGAGAAATATCTGCTTCTTTTTTCTGATGCATGTAGCCTACTGAAATTTCTTCCTTAATATCCAACATGACTTCTTAAAGCCAGATGTATCCAAAGCAGAAATTAATAAACACTGAGAGTAAAAGCAAAGAGCAATAAATCCAGTGCATGCGAGGGAACTCTATTTAAGAACTAAGTGTCATCTGAAGTCAAAAAGTCTCTTGACTAAATTCACAGGGCTGCAACAGAGTTCAAACAAGAATCTCACTTCTTGCTAGAAGTACATGGCAAAGTCTACACTAGCTACAAAAATTATCTGCACACAATGTATTACCGCAATTTTTGAAGAATTCAACTTTCTGAATGTTGGCACCAGATTCATGACAAACCATGAACCCATATCTCCAGAATGTCAGTCCTCTTAGGCAGTGTATGGCATGAAGAAAAACAGAATCTGTACAGCAATCTTTCCTTTCCCAGAAATCTCAGGCAGTTAAATGTTACAGAAAAGGATACCATAAAACAAACTTCCTGAATGATGGCTTTGTTCTTTTCCTCTTCATTAGACAACAGTCGCTGCCAAAAAAAACCAAAATAATTGAGAGGATATAGTTACTGAAACTTACAGACTTAACAGTGCATAGATTGTTTTTTTCAATGAAGGAATATGAAGGATAAACTACAGACAAAAACCTAAGGAACTGTAATGGGGCAGTAAACCAAGCTGGCTTATTGTACATTTTGATATTCTGACATAAATAATAACAAGCTTTCCAGTTGCCTGGACTATTCAGGTTTAGTGATAATTGAGCAGTTGTAACTTTTTACACTCTTAAAAGTAACTGCTCTGGCAGTTCTGATATATAAAGCTCTAAAGTCTCCTGGCTGCAGCATTGTGGACTGACAAGGAAAGATTCACCTTCTATCTGAAATATTTAGCAACAACCTTCAACTCACTCTACACTAAACTCACCAGATTATGTATCCTGTCTTTTTCAATGGTACTTGTGTAATCAGTAGCAAAATTAAGTATTACTGTTTCTAGTATTACCTGGATTTGCAGTCAACATTTGACTACAATCAGCCTGAGCATTCACTTCAAAAGTACTGGTTTTACAGAACCGAGGAAGTATAGTAATGGTTCACCTTTTACCTGTTATTTTTCTAATGAGGATCTTTGAACACATATAATGTATGGCTTTGGTCACATGTTTTGTTACTGTAGGATGTGGAATGAAAGGGGAAAAGCCAAAGTTATTACTGGTGGTATAATGCCAACTTACCTCTCCCATCCCTCCTACAACTAACCCTGTTTACAGTTACCAGAAGCCTCCAGAAACCAAGAATCCAGAAAAGTATCTCTGAAAAGTACCAAGCTGAATGGTTAAACAATGAGTCGAAGCCTGGAGCATTATTTTTAATACTAAGGAAATTTAAAGTAAGAAGGTAAGCTAAATCTGCTTTTGACAAGTGAAAAAGATTCCTGTACTCCACTTCAGGTCACTATGAAATATTCTTTTTACCCATGAAACAAAATGTTTTTGACTGGATCATGAATTTCTATACCAAATAAAAAAATAAAGGCCAGAGGTACCTAAAATATCAATTCCCCTGTTTGTCATCTAATAATGAAGTGCATGGTTCTAACTGGAATGACCATTCTAAATAGTGGGCTACAAACACCATTAATACACTGAATTTTTCCAAGTTACTTGCTCTGTGCCATACATCAAAGACTAACTGTCATGCTAAAATATCAAGCTAAAAGACAGACCTTACAAACCTATAGTGAAGTAAATTAATATTACCTTCAAAGCATAATCTTTGCCACTTCCAAGATCTTGAGCTTCATAGACAAATGCAAAACCCCCTACAAGAAGAAGGCATATTATGTCAGTTTTAATTTCAATATTCAGGTACATCATTCTTTTTAGTCTAACAGAATCAATACATGAATTTAGATACATTTCTGAATGTACCAAGTACACATTTTTAGCATCCGGTCAAGATGGCTGATATTCAGCAAGACTTCAGACACTCTCTTCCTTGCCTGTACATACATCAAGAACACACTGATTTTGTTACTCTCCTGCATTTTTTTAAGTCTGCATATGCAGATTTCTTATGAAGCCATTTTTTCTTATAAAACCAAACTGTACTAAAGCAAATACTACCTGATATTTCAATTAAACTTTTTTGATATTACACTGCTAACACTGTATAAAATACAGCAATAACAAAGGAAGATAAGTGCTAAACATACACCTCCTATTTTTAAGATAATTGTCATGCTTCATGCTTTGTATTAAAAGCAGAAAGCTTTTTCAAGCACTGAAGCGCACATTCCAATAACAGTAATATTGTTATTAAATTGAAATGTGTTGTTCCATAAAATATTTTCCTTCAAACTTCTTTTGTCAAATTATCTATTTTCTCAAACACTTCTCCTTTGCTCAAGAACACTGTGCAAACCTCATTGAGATAGCAGAAGTTTGAGAGTAGATAACTAGTTCAAAATACACATTTCTACTTCAGTGATAGTACCTTATTATCAAGTACTAAGAAATGCTAAACAGAATGGAGTTCATTAAACTTTGCAGATCTCCAGAGAAAAGCCAGTGGTATTGAGCCTGGTTAATTCCTACTTCATTACACCTGCCTTATTCAGAATCCAACTGCTATGACCTACAAGCTCACCTTTTACAACTATGCCCCTCTCAAAACATCAGCTTCAAGTAAGTTTCCCATTCTGTCTTTTCACTCTTTCACAAACTCAGCTCCATACAACTTGGCTCATTCTATGTAGTGTTTGGTTCATTACTTCTGCAGCACTTCTACAGCAGATACCATGTTTAATTCCATGGATTTTCTGGGATACCAAAGGAGTTACAGCATGTTGTGAAGATAGTTCTAACTTCTTTTTTTTTAACCATCTGCTATTAGTGAAAACAATTCTTACACAAAAGGCAAAACTATTCCTACTGCTTCTTACTTAAAAACAGTTTCATTTATAGTTTGATGCTGGCTCCCTCAAAGAAGTAGTCTATTAAAGCAGTTTTAATATACCTTCAGCAGGGACAAGTTTATTGGCAAAATTTCTGATCTGCCGTAACAGTTTACTCCAAGCTCCCTGACCAATATATTTTGCAAACATTCAGAAAAAATAATTTAAGAAGTACTTTCAACAAACCTCTACCTGTACAGCAGACCTAAGTGAGGCAAATCGTAAAATGGAAGTTAAAAGAAAAACTTCGATGGGCATCTGAATAATGTAATTACATTTGGGGTGTTTTCACTCATTTTTTCCACTCATGTAAATGTTTGTAGATGGTTTTAAGACAGTTTTCTGAGGCTTTCTGTATCAGCAAAATCATCTTAGTATTCCCCCATACAGATCACCAGTGTAGAGATATGTACACACCCATCCCAGCTGCTGCCCACAGAGACAGGTTTTACATTGGTGAGGCATTTCAGAGCCCCATTCTCAGAAGACAGCCCAAGCCATCCAAAGTCATCTCAGACAGTATTTTCTAGTACAGAAATTACAGCAGAAGAAAACTAGGTTTATTTCTTTTCTGTAGACACAAGCTCTCACACATCAAGGCTCACTTCAGAGCACTACACCATGAAAATCAGGAACTAACTCCACCTCATTTGCTTTATTAGTGAGCACTCTACACTTATCTTTGCACCATCACAGGCCTATCAATACCTCATCATTCTCTTAGAGAGACTGGAAGACTGTTGCTTTTCCAACCAAGACATTTGGATTCTCTCTCAAGTCAAACCTACATCACATAATACTGAATAACTTCACTGCATTTACACATTAAGTTGGATTTTAAACTGTTCTTTTTTATCATGTCCCTGTTTTTCACATATCCACAAATTATCTTTTCAGATAAGTAGATTCAGTAAAGTTACAAATACAGAAGCATCAAAATAGGGACATCAACCACATTGTAACACTGCTTGCTACTGTAATTCACTCAATGTTTCATTACACACTTAACTAGTCATGAGAAAGCGAGGGTGTGAGTAGCTTCCTGTTTGTAACTATTTGATATGACTTTTCTACTCTCCTCCCAGATACTGACCAAATTCATTCACTTTCAGCGGCTTATGCTATAACTTGATTGAAACACTATAATTCTAATCTGGACTGTAAGTTACAGTGCACCTTACCTGAAAACTTTGATTTCTATCAGAGTATCAAAAAAGAAAACACACTCAGTTATTGTCACCACACATTGATTCACAAGCATTTTTCTTCTGAAGTCCAGTCATGCATTTGTGTCCATTGCAAAGTCCTAGTAACACAATGAAACTGCCTCAAGAATAAAGGATGGCCCAAATTTAAAGACCTGTACACACCCTTGAGAAAAAGAGAGGTAGAATATCTTGAAAGTTTCAAAGCTACCCTGCAAGCAGGAATTGCTACAGCCAAGAAACAACAGCCTTAAAAAATAGAACTGTTCTGCTCCATGTTGAAAACATTGTCTACATTTACAGTAAAGAGAATGCCAACTGGAAAGTTGCTAGGTCAGGTGCTTTAGTTGCTCTTTAGGAATCATCTTTTTTTCCCCCCACTTACTGGCAAATTAACAACGCTCACAGAAACTTAACATTAAGCATTCATTGTGCCTCTGCTGCTGAAAGTTTACAAATTAAATCTGCTCAAAAGCCTCAACTTAATTAGGTTATCATTATCCTATGAATCCAGCAGTTGCACAGACCATAGAATTGTTCCTATAAGTTTGGCAACCTGTAATACTGCCTGCTCACACTCAAAATACTGAGGAAGTCCTGCAGTATCAAAGAAAAAAAAACAAAAACGTTGCTTTAATTGCAGAAGTTTCACCTTGACAGAAAGCAGATTGTAATAAGTTACCTACCTACGTGGCTTCAAGTCATGACATCTAGTTTTAAACTAAAAAAAAAGAACAAAATTAAAGTCTGTAGCCATTTATGTCTGTAGCCTATTGCTATCTTCCTGACTAGGGAATGATTTTCCATTACAGTAAAAGCTTTAGACTCAGATCAAACAGATTGAATTCTTTTTCTCATAATGTTCTCTTCTTGTGTGCTGTTTTGTCAATGTCTTGCTCAAAGGAAGCCTAAGAACTCATTACATGTGAAGAATGGTTGTTAAACATGTGCTTGCTTGTTCCCTGTTTTTCACACAAACACTTGGTTTATTCTAAATTGTTCAGTCTCATATACAAAATAAGCAACAATATTCACTAATTATGGAGGAAATCTCTGACTATTTTACTTAAGTAAAACTGTGTGGGTGTCTGTGCACTTAACGTGAGGATCCAAGAGAGCCGTGACATGTGAAGCCACCATCATACTAAGGGCAAGTAGAGATCGTATGTAAAGGCCCCCCCACCAAGGTCCTCTAAAATCTTATCTACAGTGAGCTACTGAAATGTCCAAGCAGAAAAAGAACTAGGATACCATATTCTAGGAGTGCTCAGTCCAGTCTGTGACACCCTTAAGTCTGTTCTTGCATTTAGAGGTAGTATCAATACAAGAGATCATCACCAGCTCATCACCCACAGGTTGCTGTCAGCCTCCTGCAGCAGCACACCACATTTTCAATCAACCCAGTCCTACCCCAGCATGACACCTCTGTGAAACAAACAGGAAATCACATCCAAGCAACCTGTGCAAGAAGTCTCAGAACACAGCCAAACAAGAATTTGCACCATCACTGTTGCACACTACAGAGCTGGAAGGAGCTGTGGGCTATGGGAACAACTGAACCTGTGCTGCCACATGACACCACGCAATGCTAAACCACAGGCTCTGTTCACACCAGCTACAAACAAAGCTGAGCATACGAGCCTATGGAAAAGGTTCTCTATCTGCATCGGCAGATGACACACAGTTCACTACAGATTTGAAACCCAAATTCAGAAAGCAGCACTTGACTTTCCAGTAGGAAATTTGGCATGAAAGAACCCACCTAGAAGAAAAACAGATTCTATATTTGTAATCGTGGAAGGGAATACACACAAGCCACAGTTATGGACCCATGTATCAGAAGGTACCACAACACATCCGGAGCTGAAAGATAAACGTAATTTGAGCAACAAAATAAACTATACAAATTCAAGTCTGAAGACTGCAGGAGAGAACAGGACTTCTGTACTTTATATCTATTTTAGCTTTATACTCAATATACCACAAGGGACCTTTTAGACCAGCTACACTGAAGAAATGCAGCTAGAAAATTATATTTTCCAGAAAAAGCAAGCAGCTAGTCGAACTTTGGTTGGCAAAATAAGAAAAGAAAACAACATAAAATAACACCGTAACACTGAGACAAAAATGTAACACAAATTTTTCTGGTTACAGAGAAATTGTTAAGAACTGTAGAGTTAAAGCATGTTTCCATTTGCTTCAAGTCATCTAACCTGGCATCTTTCCCTTGACATTTTACAAAGGCTGTGTCAGATTCTGGGAAACAGTAGGCTGCTGTCAAAGTGAAGTACTAAAATACCTGCTACAGAAGCATAACCAAATAGCATATATCCTTCAAAAATAGCTTCCTGCCCTAACTTTCCTTTGTCCTTTGGTAACTGCTGTGGTCACTGAGGGCAATAATGTTACAGTATCAGCAGCACAGACAGCTCTTTTAGCATTCACATCCTACTGAGGTTGTGAATGCTAAAAGACAAAGACTTATATTTCAATCACAATTCTGACTGTAAAGAAGGTGTAAGTAAAGGCTGAAGTCAAACAGGAGGACACAACATTTAGTACTGTTCTAAATGCAACTTGCTATGTAAAAAACTGCCAGGTTTTCTCCAAGATCATGTGCCAGAAGTCTTTGAGCATTCAAGTGATAAATTATTGCC